GGGTGTGTTGGAGGACGGGAAGGTTGCCTCCAGTTGCACCTTTCCTCTGTTGCGTGAAGTGCTGGTGTGCCCCAGGAAGGCTCCTCCCAAGACACGAAGGGCCTCGGCCGTGCTCCCGCTCCCTCCGTGCAAGCCTGCCCGTGGAGGAGCAGCTCACAGCCCGCAGCTTCCACTTTCGGGAGCTGCGGTGTCTGCTCGCAGGCCAGCGTGATAACAGGGCAGGAGGGAGGCTGCTTCGGGCTGCCAGCGGCCGTGGTTAGCTCTGCACGCTGCACCCCAGCCTCTTTTTCCCCTCTATGGCTGATAAAGTATAAAAAGGAATTAGTTACGTAGCGACTTTCGGTTATACCTAGTGGAGAATTGTAGGTTTTTAATGCAGTTTAAACTGAAATAGATTAAATTTGATCATATGCGCGTTTTTTTCCCATTTAATAATTTGAGTATCCCTTAGCACAAACCAAAAATGTTAGGTGTCTGTTCGTGATACTGCAGAAAAGGTTGATCAATTGGTTGCTGATTACCCAAATCACTCTCTTAATATGCCCATGTTCAGGTAATTCTTCCATCAGATGTCATTGATTTGTGCCGTTTTTAAAATATTTAGAATCCTTCCATGAATTTTACCAAACCAATTTAAGTATTGCATTGCCTCTGCTGTAGGGGCAGCTTTCAGGTTCATTGTACAAACCACCTAGAGTGAATGTGCTGTTGGTTTTTATGCATTGTTTTTTATGACCTTTGGAGAAGTGGGGTTTTTTTTCAAGGAAAGTACAGCAAAGTATGTACAGACAGGTTTTCCCAGGTGCTGCAAAATCCCACATTTTGGTCAGCGTTGGGTTCTCGAGGGCCTGTGCTTCTCCAGAGCAGTGAGCCCTGAGATGGTACCAAAATACAAGCAATGCCAGCCAGGCAACAAAGCTTCCTTTCCATTTCACCCTTCTCTCAAAACTAGACCAGCTAGGAAAATACATTTTCAGCAAAAGGTTGTTTTTTTAATAAGCTATCACAAAGCAGCCATCTCTTTCTCTGACAGTATCTTCAAGCGTGCTGTCCCAGATGTGTCTTTGTGGTGTCGTGTACCTGTGCTTGCTTATTCTGTGGGAACAGACTGATTAGTGGGAAAAGGTGATCCCTGACCCTGTCACAAAGCTAATGCACACGCAGTATGAACAAAACTCTGTTTTTTCAGTGGTTTGATGTCATTTCTCTTACAGGTCGCACGACTTATGGAAATGGGCTTTTCCAGGGGAGATGCTCTGGAAGCTTTGAGGGCTTCAAATAATGACTTAAATGTAGCCACTAATTTTCTACTGCAGCACTGATGGTTTTCTGTGCGAAGGAACTCTCCTCGTGGGGTTTGTACGCGTCTGAAAGAGGATCAAAGCCACCTGCTGGACAGACTGACGAAGGTCGTCCCTGCAAGCAGCGTCAGGAAGAAGAGGCTGGCTCTGCGTGACCGGTGGTTGAAAGCAATGTTCATGAATGATGTGAAATGTTCCCAAGCCTTCAAATCAATTGGTGGTTTCTGTCCTGGTTATCCTTTTCGAAATAACTTTAGTTTCTCCTTATTACTGGATATCACCTAAATTTATTTTTTAAATGGAGTAGGTGTTTTTTTTTTTCTCTTGTAAATCATTGTTAGACATGTTGTCAGACTTAATGACTAGGGAAAGAGGCTCCAGCAACCACCACAACTAGATTTACTACCTGTCGAGAAAAATTGTATTTTCTTCATTTACCAGCCTAATTTCTCTAGCTTACATGTTATTTTACAGTACCTGTTTTTTGACTACAATAATAAGATGTTTGAAGATCACTTTGTTTTCAGTTCAGAAAGGGGTTTTGGGACTATTTGTCATTCTTCAGGAAGGTTTATTAACGCCTGTAATATTTTATTTCCTGAATTCCTTTTTAAATAAAAGTTGTCATTCAGCACATGATGCGCAGGTAGGATATGAGGACGTTCGTGTGCGTATCGCAAGCTGTGGTCAGTGACCACTGTAAATTGAAATTTTACAAACTGAGAAAGTTGCTGTTCAGACACAGGGCGTGAGGACAGTCACTGGAAGCAATAAAAGTGGATCGAGTGGTACAACGAGGTCAGAACTGAAATGATTTGAACGGCTTCTATGTCTAATTCAGAAAAACTTCTGCATGATGGATGTGTGCTCAGTCTCCTCTGTGCCAGTTTCATGTTTTGAGCTGGCTACCTGCTGTCTCAAAGGGAAAATATAAAAAACTATCTTTTCTATATAGTTCTAGTTTTCTACTTTTGGAGATGTGGGTGACTCCTCGCTCTCTCGAGCAGCTACTGTTGGTCACAGAGACGAATACCAACCTTAAGGGTGGTTCAGAGCAGCACAGGAGCTGACAGGACGTAACGCCAAGGTAGTACAATGATTTTGAAGTTTAAATTCATTATTAAACTTACTTGGCTGTACTCTCAGACATGCTTGGTATGAGCAGCTGAGGAGTTTTGGGAGGTGGGCTGGAGAGAGGTGAACACCTCTATTTGTTAGACACTGGAACAGGCTGCCCAGGGAAGTGGTGGAGTCACCATCCCTGGAGGTCTTTAAAAGACGTTTAGATGAAGAGCTTAGGGATATGGTTTAGTGGGGACTGTTAGTGTTAGGTCAGAGGTTGGACTTGATGATCTTGAGGTCTCTTCCAACCTAGAAATTCTGTGATTCTGTGTGATTCTGTGATAAAACCAGGCGGGAGTGGTACTGTTTGGGAATGAGGTAAAAGAACAGAGGAGAGAGAAAAGCATTTACAAAATCCACATGAACGTGTGTGTGCCAAAGCACAGGTCTCTGCGGTCATACTTGGCCTGGAAAATACAACGGGAAACCACAGGACGAGATTCATAGAGAGGGAGATACCTTTCTTATTTTTGTAACTGACTGATAAAGCTGAAAAAAGTCCTTCGGGCAGCCAAGTGCTTATACAGAAATGGCACCAAGTTTATTCGTCTGTACGTGCGTGGCATTCTTCTGTAGTTACATCCAAGTCATTTACATATCTTTCAGTACTTTCCAGTGGGGGAATTAAGAAGTTTTTTGGAGTTACTCTGTGTTTTCCAGGGCTTTGATTAACCCACTTCAGGGCTGGGCTTGCTGCCGTGATCACATTTTTTAGGCGGGGTTTGCTTTTTAAGTGGGAGAGTTTGGTTTTGTGAAGCTGAGTGGCACTTTTCGTGTGTAGCCTGGGCACATCTCTCTACCCAGACAGCTGGAACCTGGCTGCCTTAAAAAGGTTAAATGTAAGAATACCTACTAGAGAAACCTACAATTATCTGGATAGGGAAATCCATTAAATATTTTTAAACGAATACATGTTTTAATTGTGAAACATACAGATTCTTCCTCTACAAGTGTTTTTTGTAAGTAGCAATAACGGCTTCGGAAGGGAAATTTTGTCTTCAGGAAATTTAGGTCCATCCCAGGGTAAGCTAAACAGGACACATGCCCTTTCAGACATTGCCTTTCTCCCTTGTGACTTTAAACTATGTAAAGAGGCATCCAGGACACTGGTGGTGGATGTTCTCCAAGTCTAAATCCTTTCCCCCCCTGACCTGTACGGAGGTATCCACAAGTTGTGCGGAAAGCCCCTTTTTGCTGAGCGATTCCCAAAGCGTGGTCAGACGTGGGGAGCACAACTCAGGTCTCGGTGATGTCGGCTGAAAACCCCCCTCGATATCTGCGAGAGCAGATTGTGCTCAAAATACTTCCCGGGTTGTGATTTCCAAAGAGAAAAAAAAAAAAAATAGAAGTGGTAAAAGGAGGGGTGCGATGCAGTTGAGCAGAGTTCCTGTTTCGTAGGAGAATGCAGAAAAAGCCTCGTGCACTAGAGCTGGAGAAGAAGTCAGTTTCCACTTGCTTGTGAAGCTTTGGTGGATCATTTCTGTGGGTGTGAGGAGTGTGCTCCTTCCAGCTGACATGGTGCTGTGTCCAGCACGACTTGAAACACCTCGTTCCTTGTTGATGTGTGACACAAACCCATGTGTAGGCAGCGAGAGGACACACAACACTTCTGCTGAGAGAATTTTAAGCCCGTAGGAGACTCGGGCTGACTTTAGTAAAGCCACGAGGTGGTGTTTTGAAGTAACAGCAGCTGCTTTTCTGATTTCTCTGACGGGCTGGGAATGTTATCTGCTGAGACAACATCGGAATCGTTTACCGGGGACTTTCCTAGATGGTTGTGATACTTTGAGATACACCCACGGGGAGCTTTGTCTTTGTGGAAACATGCGTGATAAGCTGCCAGCTTCTCAAGCCTGAACGTTTTGCTAAGATGCAGAGCGATTGGGCTCTGCACCTAACACATCTTCCTGTCCCCAAACGAGTGCTAAAGGTCACTACAGGTACTCCTCACCTGAGCGAGTGGTGCTTGTACCTCCCCGTCCTATCCACAGCACCTGCCCTTGTGAACGCCTGCTGAAGAGGTCCCGTTACTTTCGGCTGAAACCAAAAACCAAGCAAGCAAAACATACGGCAGGGAACTGGACATATGGCACAAACTGTGGCTTTTCTGGTTATGAGTGTATGCGTATATAGGTGTGGGTGGGTGGATGGATGGATATATACAGAGAGAGAGAGAGAGAAAATGTTTATTTATCGCTTTGACTAATTGAACTGCAGCTAAGCGTTCGTTCCAGAAAATCAGAAGCCGGTATGCAAGGATTGGGACCCAGCTCCTTCACCACGGGCATGTGGAGTGTGTGCGCAGTCATGAGGGCGTCCACGTTTGGAAGCACTCAGGACCACAGCTGGGCTGTTGCAGGTAAATAAACTGAAGGTAAATAAATGCGCAGCATTCATCTGAACTGCTTCTTGCTTCTGTATGTGAGCGTGTTTAATCTCTTGTACGTGTTCTTCCACAAGGAAAACCTAAATGAAATTAGCTTTCTTTCACTGGGCAGCCACAGAAATAAGCATTTTATATGACTGGGTATAAATACTGTTTTACCAGGAGGACCACACGAACACGCAAACGCCGTATGTGTTTATGTGCAGACGCATGAGCCTGTTTTATTATCCAGGTAAACGTGCTTATGCAGAGCATGCTGTGCTTGCTTTAACTTTCAGGAGGATTACACTCCTCCCGCCCTACAAAAGGACGCTTTGGGGAAGCACACACAGCCTTTCATGGACATTCAAAGAGCTTACGCGCTACCGAGAGCTTCCAGTGCAAGCACAGGGCACGAAGCAGACGGCGGTGACCTGGAGAGTGGGTGCAGGTGGTGGAAATCTCCACAAGGTGGCCGTCCAGCAGCTGGCATGTGATTGTTTGCAAAGGACTTTCCAAGAGGAAACTGGAAGTTTTTGGGGCTTGCGCTTGTTTTAAGGAGGCTGTAGCCAAGCCTGAGTGGCAGCGTTGGAGAAAGCAGCAATATTGGTGCTTCGGAAGTAGGAGGAGAATTCGGGGATCGTGGCTGAACTGAAGGCAGGATTTGGCCTTTAACAGAAATAAGCAGAGACTGTAAAGGGCTTCTGAGCTCAGCGAAGGAGAGGGGGAGCTGAGAGGAAGGAGAGGGTTCAGCAATGGGTTCAGAAGCAACATGGAGCGCACCGGGGAGGAAGGAGAGGCCTGCGGAGATGGGGCAGAGGGACGGCACACCAGCAGGCACAGCGAGGATTTTGACTCACGAGGGGTTTTGAACCGCCAGGCTCACAGCACACAAAGGGAATTTCACTTTGCATCACGTAGGCCTGCCGGCTGCACAGCTCCGCGCAGATCCACCACTGCCATGCGACCACAAAATGAGCGTGCTCCCTGCCTCGGGATAAACCCAGCAACTTTCCCTTCTCTCCAGGTCACAAGGCTGCAGCCTGGGCTGGATCGAGACGGCGCAGCAGGAACTGTGCTTGGAAAACCATCCGTGATGCTGATGAAGGCTGCACAGCTGCCCCAGCCTTCCCAACCACCGCATTTATTACATCAAGCAGACTCTGGCACAGCGTGCGATGAGCAGGAGCAGCTCCAGGTGACTTCAGAATATGAATACAGAAATATTAATACCGCTCGCCCTGGACGAGGTCTCGGCTCTCCCTCTTTCGGCGAGCCCCAGCGTTGCAGAGGATGCGCTGCCGGGGCGCGGCCGCGGTGTCCCCGTCCCTGCAGCGACAACAGCTCCCTGCCCGCCAGCTGCGGTCGCCGCTCCCCAGATGTTATCTGGCCCCTGCACAGGTGTCTGCTCGCGCTCCTCTGCAGGAATCCCACATCTGATGGCAGCAGCGCGGCGCTGATTGCAGCCGCCTGTGCAGCGGGGAGAACGCCAGGAAGGGAGCAGCAGCGGCAGCAGCGGTGCAGTTAGCGATAGGAGCTGATAAGGGGAGGGATGAGAGATGTTCTCATCGAGGCCGCTCGCGAGGCGGAGCCGCAGGAAACGTGCAGGGCGCCGGGGGCCATCCTGCGAGGAGTTCGGGTCGGGGGATGAATGAAGAGTGGAGAACGTGCGCTGCTGCGCCCATTTCTCTTCAATGAACACACGGTTTTGGGGAAATGCCCCCTGCTCACGCTCCTGCACCAGCAGCTGGGGAGCATGCACGGATTGGAGAGCGTGTTCAGGTGACACGGGCCATCAAACACCTCCTTTCTCCATCAAACGAGCCCTTCCCTCCCCGTCCCTTCTGTGTCCTGCTGTCCCCAGCCTGGTGTCCTCAGAAGTCCGTCCTTGGTGGCAGGGATGATGTCTAGCACCACGGGCCTGGAGCTCGAGGTGGTGGTGCTCCAAGCAGGCTGCTGGACTGGTGGCCTTCACCAGGCTCCCTGGCAGCGTTCAGACCACTGCTACTCCTCAATTTCTGCACGCCAGCTCTTCCTCGGCCGTTGTGGCGTGCCCTACAGGCACAGGCTGCCTTCAGGCCAGCCCTGCAGTCCCACCTGCTCTGAGTAGGGCCCAGGTGACCGGGAAGATCCCGCTGGAGACGCTTCCCAACCTCAGCTACTTCATGCACCCCTCTTGGCCAGCCTGCAGGGCCCTCAGGTCCAAGGGAAGGCCCCGTGAGGCCACCTCCAGGCCCCGTTCCCCCGTTCCCGTCAGGCTGCGGGGAGCACGGGGGTGAAGGTTTCCTGGAGAGTGCTGCGAGGGACCCTGCACCCCCTCCCCGGAGCACACCCACCACAGAGCGACGCAGAAAAGCAGGGACGGGCGCATTGCCCGTGGCCACCACGGGCTGCGTGCTCTGGGGCGGAGGTGGGAACGGGGCCCTTCTGCTCCAGGCCAGCAGCCGCAGGTGGGGTTGGTGGCCTCGTGCCCCGCAGAGCTGGTGGGGCTCGGCCAGGGCGGGTCCTGCTGCGGGGCACGGTCTGTACGCTGCCGGCCGGAGAGAAAAGGAGGGGCCGTGCCTCTAGACGGAGCTGGAGCCCTGGGGCTGGCTGTTGCTGTTGCTCTCGGAGGGGGTCTTGGCGGTGGAGGAGGTGGCCATGGAGCCGCTGTTCCTGAAGATGCGCAGCAGCCTCCGCTTGTAGCCCCGGAAGGCGAAGAAGTAGATGATGGGGTCAATGCAGCAGTTGAGGTTCATGAAGGCCACGGTGACCTGCAGGGACATCTTGAAGGCTTGCTGCTCGCGGCAGGACGGCTGGTAGAGGATCTTCCTGACCATGAACTGGACGATGTTGAGGTGGTAGGGGCTGAAGCAGAGCAGGACGGCCAGCAGCACCACCAGGATGACGGTGAAGGCCCGGCGGTGGTGCCCGTTCTTGACCGTCAGCGGGTTCTCCTTGGCGGTCTGGCAGAGCTTGAGGTTGATCCGCACGTAGCACACCAGGATGATGCCCACGGGCAGGAAGAAGCCGAGCACGCAGGCGGCCAGCAGCAGGTAGGGCAGCTTGGGGACCTCCTCGAAGTTGAAGTACTCCATGCAGGTCAGCCTGTCCCCCATCCGCCGCGTCATGGGCCGCAGCAGCAGCGGCGCCGTCTGCAGGAACACCAGGAACCAGATGAGGACGCAGACGGCCCTGGCGCGGCTCATCCTCCGCAGCCTGCCGGGGTGCCTGCTGCGCACCACGGCGATGTAGCGGTCCACGCTGACGCAGGTCATGAAGTAGATGCCCACGTAGGTGTTCATGTAGAAAATGAAGGCGGTGGCCCGGCAGAACCAGTCCCCGAAGGGCCAGTTGAACTCCAGCACGTAGTAGGCGATCCTGCCCGGCAGCGCCAGCGTGAAGAGGGCGTCCGACAGGGCCAGGTTGACCAGGTAGAGGTCGGTGGAGTTGAGCTTCTTCTTCCTGCGCTGGAAGGTGATGCAGAGGGCCAGGATGTTCCCGCAGGCGCCGAACACCAGCAGGGCGGTGTAGAAGAGCGAGAAGGTGACTTTGGCCGAGACCTGGTGGTTGTGCACGTCGCAGCCGCTCTGGTTGACGGCGGTGAGGTTGGCAGGGGGGAAGGCGGCCTCCACAGCAGCCATTGCCAGCCAGTTCCTCCTCCCCTGGGAGGAGAAGAGAGGTGAAACCCACAGCCCCGGGCTGCCCCTTACCAGGAAGCCGGGGGCCCGTCCCCTCCGCTCCCTGCCGCCCCCCAGCAGCGCTCAGCCCCAGTCATTTGGAAAAACGCAGCCCTGGTGATTTCGGGGAGAAACAAAGGCTGTGACTCATTGTCTTCGTTCTGCTTCTCGTCACCAGCTCCTCTTATTTTTTTTTTTTTTTATTTCTTTTTTTTTTTGTTGTGTTTTTGCACATCCAAGCAATAGCAGAAAGGATGTGGAGGGGGAAGGGTGGGAGGGAGAGGGGGAGAGAGAATTGCGTGTCACACAAACAAGGTCCCAAACTCGTCTCGTGGCACTGGCATAATTTATTCATCGCTGCGGGGGGGAATGGGGGCACTCAATGAAAAAATGCCCAGACAGAGGCAGGGCTGGGGCAGAGAGGGGTCTGGAGGGCAGAAACAAAATTAAAAAAAAAATAAAGAAAGAAAGGAAAAATCCCTGTGCTGGTGGTGCCCCCTGCCCATGCAAAGAGAGGAGTGGGACACGTCCCTCTACCAAATCTGTGTGCTCTGCTCCTCGACGTGCTTTGGGACGTGGGGTCTGTGCCTGCCCTGTCCCATCCAGCACCCTCCATCCATCCCCATCCATCCATCCCTATCCCGTCCATCCCATCCCATCCATCCCATCTACCCATCCATCCCATCCATCCATCCTCCTCATCCTCATCCTGTCCATCCCCACCCCACCCTGTCCATCCCTGTCCATCCCCATCCTGTCCATCTGTCCGTCCCCTCACCGCAGGCTGTGGCTGTGTCCCGCTGCTGCTCCCCGCTCCGCGGTCCCGCAGCACCCAGCAGCTGAGGTGCACACAGGCGCTGTGACAGATGCACGGACACACACCCACCTCGCGGTTGCCTGGTTGCCTTCCTTTTCCTCCTCCTCTTCTCCTTTCTCCTCCTCCTCCTCCTCCTCCTCTCCTTCCTCCTCTTCCTCCCGCCCCAGCGCAGGACCCTCCAGCGCCGTGCTCCCGGCTGTGTCTGCGCGCCTCTGGGTACTGGCTCACGTTATAAAAGCACCGGGAGTTTTGGGCTTTTTTTTTTTTTTTTCTCTCTTAGGTTTAGTAAAACCGTGTGTTCTCGCTGGGCTTTTTTTTTTTTTTCTTTTTCTTTTCTCGGTGTGTGAGAGGCATTTGTCAGCCACGGGGTTATTCTCAGTAGTGGCAGCGCCGGGGAAGACAAATGACTGTACCTGCGCAGCAATCGCTCCTGCCATCGCAGCCGACTTTGGGTTTTACTCTGACAACTTCTACCAGAATGCAAAATGCACCAGATTAAAGCCAACAGCTCCAACCCTGGGGCTCAGCCCCTTGCCCAGGCAGCCTGATGGGACCACTTCACCTTTTCCCAAAAGTCCAGGACAACACTTAGCACACTTATCACACCCCACGTGCCATTAAACCTCCATCCGAGGAGGGATGGAGAGCCCGGTGGGCGCAAACCATTCTTGTGGGGTCAGACGGTTTGTGTCCCGCAGCAGGGCTGAGTGCTTTCCTCGAGCTTTTGGCACTTCCCAAAACATTTGCAGAAGCGCAGCCTGCCCCACAGCCCCCACAGCAGGGCAGCCTTCCCCACAGCCTCTGTGTCCTGGAGGGGCTGGGGGGGTTTTCAGATCCCAGGAGGATTTCAGACTCTGCTTGGTGGTTGGGGTTTTTTTCTTCTTGGTGGTGATGACCTCACTTGTTTTCTTTTTTTATTATTATTATTATTTATTTTTTTTCTCCTTCCAAAAACTCCCAGTAAAGCTAGGAAATTCCCAGCAGGGGACCTTTAGGGCAGTACTGGAAAGCACTGAGGCTAAGAAATGTCAAGGTTAAGATTACAGTTAAGCTAAGCTTAAACTTCCCTTTATGCTGGCGAAGCTCAACCAATTCTTTAATTGCATAATATTTATAATCGTTTAGAGCATCACGACAGTAAGCTCAGCACTAATCTGTGTACCCGTGTGCAGTGAGTCATCTGTACAGAGATTACACACTGAATGATATTGGCATCGACTTCTACGACTGCAAGACTAATAATGAAAATTTGCTCACAATCATCTGTTCACGGAGACGCTTCTGGTGCTCAGGGGTTTGCACGGCCTGGGGGGAGAGGTCTGCTGGTGGGACAATAGCTGCTGAGTGAATTACAGAAGATATTCCCTCGTGAGATGGGGATTTTCTACGCACACGGATGCTCATAGCTAAGCCACCCAAACTTGTGCCGGGCTCAGATGTTCTCGAGCTGCTCGGTCACGACGGAGCACGGAGGACAGTGCCACGGCATGGGTTATCCCTGCGGAAGGCCTGATCCTGAGCACACCGCCGGGAGTGGGTTCGGGACCGTCCTTCACCTCACGCTTTGCCAAAATGAGGTGAAGGCTCGGGCACCCACCGCTCACACCCAGGCGGGGGTCACCTCCGCACGGAGGGTGGGCAAAGGGTTGCGTTATCCTGGGAGGCTCCTGGCCTCGCTCCCTCCCTCCCTGGCGCTCGTGGCAAGAGGGTTTCGTGTGGAAAACCCAAAAGCATCACCCCCAGGCCCTGTCGTGTCCCGTCCCATCGCTGTGGGCACAGGAAGGCACCACACTGCCAGGGAGGGCCACGTAGAGGGGCTCTGGGGGTCTCAACCCTGACTAGAGGTCGAAGCATCTCTGTGGAGCTGGGGAGGCCGGAGGAGGGACGAGCCCCATGAGGCAGCGCCAGCCCCAGCGGGACATGGAGGAGCCCACGGGTCCGGGTGCCAGCCCTGTCTGGGAACAGCTTGGAAATAAGGAGGGGGTGGGAAGCAACGTGCTCTCTGCCCGATTTTATTTTATATTTTTTTAGTTTTGCAAGGCAGAAGAAAGGAAGTGGGTTCTTCTTCTGTGCAAAACACGCTCCTGCCCTGCATGCAGCAGGTGCTGCTGCGCTACAGGCGTGCAGCCCAGCTCCACCCGCTGCACGGCCCCGCCACAGGCCGGGACCCTCCCTTGGGTGCAGGTCTGCTCCTGCCGCACCCCTCTTGGCACCAGGCCGCCCCTCCTCGGGGTGCTCCTGCTCCGTCCTGGTCGCACCCGCGCTGTGTTTTCACAGCACCTTGCAGAAGCTGCTCCCCCACCCCTCTTCTTCGCTCCATGCTCTTCCAGCCCCGCTTCAGTCCCCACCCAAAAACAGGGACCTGCAAACCGTCCCCAGCCTTTCCTGCGAAGCCCTGGATGCCAGCAGCTGGCCCAGGTATTTCTAGGACTCCCTGCAGCCCCTTTTGGCTTCTGGAGGCCTTTTCACGCAGGCTTTGCATCGTCCAGAAGAAAACCCCACCCGTGGCTCCTCTGGGGCTGGTCCTTCAGGCCGCCATCACACCCACCACCACCCTTCAGCCCCTTGGAGCTGAAGGACCCCTCAAATTTGGCTCTCAGTCACTGACTCTTCACACCACATCCCCCGTGCTGGCCTAGGAAGAGGCACCACTATCAGGACAGGCCACGTCCTGCTGCCCTGCTGCCACAGGCCCTGCGATGGCCACCTTCCCCTGCCATCCTGCAGGCCGATGGGTCTCGCTCCCCCAGATCCACAGCTCACAGGATCGGTGGGGAGAGCTTGCGAAGGGTCTCCAGGAGCCTTGCATGTGCTGGCACCACACTTGCTCCAAGCCTGGTCTCCAGCCCCAGCTCTGGGCTGCTGCCCAAGCCCCGCTGGGGTGCCTCAGGTGCGATGGAGCTGGCGCCGTGAGGCGGCGGTGGCAGCATCCCCTCCTTGCCAGGGGCGGCAGGAAGCTTCTGCGCTCTCTTTCCATTGCCTCATCGCCTCTCCTGGCTTCCTCCCCCCCTCTGGCTTCAGCTGCTGTTTCTGTCTTCAGGTGCAAAACATTTTCAGGAAGCCTCGGGTGCAGACACAAAATCTCCGATCCAGGTGCTTTCGGTTTCAAGACGACAGGCAGGGATTTTCCACACCTCTGCTGTTCACCTGGCAGGGGAGCAGAACCAAGATTAGGAGGACAACTGGCTTCAATGTCAACTTTTCTTGCCCATTGACAGCAGCAGCTATGGGGGGAGGATGATGCTGGGGAGGCTTCAGCTCAAGGTGACTGAAAAAGGTGCAGAAAGAGCAAAACCTGTGCTGAGATTCTTGCCAGTTGGTGACCAAAATCTCAAGAAAGTCATTACCAGAGTTTTGGAGCACTAGAAACTTAATCTGGCCCGACATCTGCATCGGGAAAAACACTGAGTAATCCACGGTTGAAATCTGTTTCTGAACGCAATGCCCTGGTTTGGTCTGGGGGTGATGTCTCAGGAGATGGGGGCTTGCCCTGACCCTGGCCACGAAGACCCACACAGCTCTGAGGCCTTCATGGTCAGGACCAAGGGGCAAATATGGGTCTGGGTGGGCTGCGGGGCCTGTAGGGCTTCCAGGTGGTGATGGTCTGGGCCACCCAGCCGCAGGGGCTGGGACAGTGCCTGGCAGGAGAAATACCCGGGAAATTCGCGTTACGAGGTGACTTCCTCTGCTGAGCGTGAGCATCACCGGCGCCCCGCCGCCCCGCAAGAAGCTCCATTTTGATTCTGCAGGAATGAGATGAAAGTTGTCTGAGTATCTGATTTCTGTGGTTAAAAACAATGTTTAAACACTTGTTCAAAAAAAAAAAAAAGACAATCAGAAGGCAGGTTTGGAGAACAGAGGTCCTATTTTTACCTGTTTTTGTTACCTCGGGGCTGCACACGCTGCGCATAACGTGCAGCCACAACCCGGGCAGGAGCAGCGGGCATGCAGGAGGTGCTGAGCTGAGAATTTGTGGCATTGAAGGTGCCAAAAAGACACCTTGATCCAGCCCGGGTCACCACGAGCTCACACTACAGTTTATTTTGGCGGGATGCCACATCTTGTAAGTGGTGTGCTCCAGCCCTCTCCTCGTTTGCAAGACGCCCAGTGCAGCCTTAACGTGGCTCCTTCGTGCTGCTGCTGCTCTCTGTGCCCCCCGCAGATGGGGACACCCACAGCCCTTATTGTTTTCATCTACGAAAACAGAATGTTTCTGGTGAATTTTACTCGCAGAAACTGCTCATCTGTTGTCAGGTGGAATTTTCCAGCAGCATTCGCCCCTGAGGCAGTGTTTCCACAACAGCTCCAACCCAAACAGTACCTGCTGGGCAAAAGCTGTCACGGCACAGAAAGTGCTGGGGGGATGTAACTTCGCAGAGAGCCAGAGGATGCTCCTCCACATGCACGCAGTGCTCCCGTGCACCCGTGTCCAGCCCTGGGCTCCCCGGTACAGGAGAGGCCTGGAGCTACTGGAGGGAGTCTGGTGAAGGGCTGTGAGGGTGATGAAGGGGCTGGAGCACAGGGAAAGGCTGAGATGGTTCAGCCTGCAGAAGAGGAGGCTCAGGGGGCTTTTTATTAATTATTTTTTATGAATTATGATAACTGGTATTAATTATTAACAATAATAATTTTTAATGATTAACACCTAAAGGGATGCTGCAGGGAGGATGGAGCCAGGCTCTTTCTGGTGGTGCCCAGTGCCAGGACAAGAGGCAGGGGGCACAAACTGGCCCCCAGGAGGCTCCCTCTGAGCCCCAGGCAGCACTGCTGTGCTGTGTGGGTGTGGGAGCCCTGGCACAGGCTGCCCAGAGAGGCTGTGGGGTCTCCTCCTTGGAGACCTTCAGAAGTCACCTGGACAAGGCCCTGAGCAGCCTGCTCGGGGTGGCCCTGCTGGAGCAGGGGTTGGACCAGGTGGCCTCCAGAGGTGCCTTCCAGCCTCAGCCATCCTGTGATGCTGAGATCTCCAAGTAGCAGAGGGTTTCACAAGAATTTGGGAAACTGGGAACAAAGAAACACCTTGGGAGCTGAACAATAAGCTGAGAGCAACATCTCCGGGCACGTCCTCAGCTTTGCTTTGCAGTTTCCCTGTGGAGGACCGTTTTCATGCAAGTAACACTTCGTTCAAGGCTGCAGGATTAATTGGCTGTTGCTTCTCATGGGCTCAAGGGTTTTGCATGGTTGTCCTCCTTACCTGCGCTACTGCATAACCTAAGAAAGGCTGAAGGTCACTGGGGTAGGGAAGGGAGATGTTCTGGCGCTCTTCCCTTGCATGGAGAAATGACGTGACGGTCTCAGAGTCCTACCCCGATAAAATGGCACCAAACCCTGTGTGGGTCCTGCATTTCTCTGCAGCTCACTTTCCTGACCAGGCTTTAGACCTGATGACCACTTCAGGTGGGTGATGTGCTTCATTGTCCTTCCTTTCAGTAAGGGCTGTCTCGTGGCTCTGCACATCAGCTCAAGAAAATGCCCCACATAAACTACAGCGATTTAAAACCTGTACATTTCATCAGACTGATTTTTGATGGTGCTTTAAATGCCTGGCTTATATCCAGATTTATCCATCTCCATATATCCATCAGGATTTCTTTTCTAGTTGGCAAATTTTTCTTTGTAGGGCTTTCTTGAAAGACCAGACAGACGGATCTTAAGCCCTTCCACCTTGAAGGACCACACTTTTCTGGGCTTGTTGGCTCAACATTTTTGCAATGCATTTTGTTACGTGCCTTTTCTTCTTGGTGCTTGTCTCCTGAGTCCAAGCTGCAGCTGGTCTCCTCTCTGTGCTCCCAGGAGTGTGGTGGCCAATTTTTTTCTTCCTAGTGGCAATTTTGCCTCCTGGGGTCCACTCACCACTGGCGTATTCAGGCCAAAGCCCCTTTCCCTCTGGCGAGGCTTTACGCAGGTGGGAATGCCAGAAACCTCGGTGCAGGGTTTTAGGGGTGGGGATGTGCCTCCCACGGCATCCGCACGGGCTGCGGCTCTGTCACGAGATGCTGAAGGAGATACCGAGTGATTTGCACCTCTCAGGTAGGGATCTGACTGCTCTGCCAGCCGGGGTTTGGTGGCTCAGCACCGCGCGGCCGGAAGGCTCGAAGAGGGACCCTGCCCCGTGAGCCACGCTGGAAATTTTCAGAGGTTCTTAAAATCATGAATTTGCTTTCGTGATTGCTATTCGGTGAATATTTTGCCTGTGACAAAGTACCGTGTGGCTTAGCATGTTGTGGAAGTTAGCTTCTTTTTGTCTTTGTTTCTTCTTTTTTTCTATTCTTTTGGCCTGGCTGCCTGCCAGCCTTAGTTGTCTGCAGCAACCAGCGCAGCCGTGAGCTGTTGAAACGCGTAAATTTGAGATGTTTGGTCGGAGGGGAGCGTTTTGTTCTCCACAGCCCCGATCAAAGCCTGGCTTCGGGGCTGTTTAAAATCATGATCGCATTGAAAGAGCGTTCAAGTGCAAGGAACAGGTCCCCGTCCTCAAAAAAAAAAGCGTCCTGCGCTTTTATAGGGTCCCACCAGTTCTTTGGTGCAATCCCCTGCCCTTGTCGTGCAGCATCCTCGAGGGTTTTGCTGTCCTGCCCCTGGATGCTTAGGCTCACCCTAAATGCCTTGGGTCTGCTGAACCTCGGTGGGGTTGCTCGGATGGGCGGCGTCAGGCTGAGTCACGGCTTCTCTGACAGAAAGTGGGAATAACGCTGAGTGGTTTTAAAAGGCCGAGAAATGAAGGGTGGCATTTTATTTTATTTTGTTTTATTTTTGTCTACAGCTGAGGGAAATTTGAGGGAGGCAGTAGTTTCCCATCTCTCCACCATGACAGTCACCAGATTGCTTTGGCTGGCCTTGGCCATTGATTACTAAACACAGAATTTCACATGAAATCACCTCCTTGCCGTGGCCTTGATACTTACTATATTGCCCTTTATAAAAACACAAAAAAAAAACCTACGCTCAGTCAGGCTGTGACAACAGAGTCATCCTCCTAATCTGATTCAAGCAGCAGCTCCTAAGAAGGGCAAAATTAGTATTTACTAGAAGTGAGGGCTGTGTCATTTCAGCAGCGAGCCTCGCTCTTCGGAAGGCGCAGATAAGGATGCGCGCCGTCTCCCCACCCACACCGGGTTCACATATTAATGGCCTGGCCGTGGCTGTCAGACTGAATGCCTCAATGAAAAACCTGGGTTTGTACTCCTGCTCGTGACAGGGAGCAAAAGATCGGGGTCCTCCGGGACACCCCGGCCACTGCTAGCAGGGCGGGATGCCTGTGGGTCCCACCGCCCTCCCCAGGGGCTGGGCAGACCCTGCGGACCCCTGTGGCTGTAAATTTGTCCCCGGCTCCTGTGATCTGGCTGTGTTTCACCATTTTGTGGCCACGTTTCGCTGCTGGGCTCCATGCACATTATCAGAGACCAGCGCCAGACCCGCAGGGATGGGTGGATGCTCATCGGGAGGCTGCACGCCGCTGGGTTAAACTCCTGTGCCCCAGATTTTCCTAATTTCGTGTTTTTTATTTTGCAGAGAGTTGTTCTCAACTCCCTTGTTTTGCACACCTGACGTATGAATTAAAAACCCTGAACACTTTTTGTCTGGTGCGATGTGCATTGACAGTGGGATTAGCATTTGTAGTGGGGTGTAGAGTGGGATAGGGATGGGGGTGATGGTGATTTTATGTCCAGAAACACGTTTTATTCTTGATTGAGATGTGAACATCTTCATCCTAAGCTAGGTACAGAGCGTCTGGGGGTGGACTGCACGCTGCTAGCTGGGTCTAGAAGCTTGTGTACACTCAGACAAGGCTGTGAAAGGAGAAAATCGATGAAAAGCTACCAAGCTGTACACGGGAAGGGTACTTCCACTGGGATGACCCAGTTGTTCTTCAGAAATCAGTCTGAGGTAAAAGAAAGAGACCGCACTGCGGTCCCTTAGCAAGGTCCGCTGAGCAAGCAGTACCAAGGATTAAATTCAGAAATGAACATCCCCAAGCAGGGACCACGCTTGCTGTCACACCATGGGCAATGTGCCGCAGGGGCTGGCCCCACACAAATCCCCTTTTCGGCCCTTTTTCAGCCTTCCCGACCGAGCCGCATCCCGAGCGTGCACCTCCTCACCTCGCCCAAACCAAAGGACCTGGGACAAGGCCCAGAAAGGCTGAGGAGATGGAGAACATCAGCCCCTGTTGGCTGAGGGGCTTGGCTCTGCCCTGGGGGCTGGTCTTGTGTGAGCAGGGTGCTGGAAGGCAGCAGGAAGGAGTGCAGGAGAAGGAGGAGGCATCCTCCTCTCCCTCCTCTTCCTCCTCTTCCTCCTCTTCCTCCTCTCCCTCCTCCTGAACACACCAGCAGCATGGCGAGGGCACAGAGGGAGATGGGGGTGCCCACCTCGCCGCAACATTTCTCCCCTTCGCTCTACCAGAGGTGCTGGCGAGCCCCAATTTCCCCAGTTTTGGGAGTGTCAGGGTGGGAGGGGAGCAGCCGGCTGGGCAGAGCAGCTTCCCCGGTGCCACTAGAGGTCATCCTTTCAACAACTTACCCGGCTGGGATGCAGGGCGAGAGCTGGAGCCACCGCAGATGGAGCCTGCACAAATTCCCTGCCTTGGAAAACAGCTCCGGGAGGGGTTCCCAGGGATGAAATTGCTGCGAGGGGGGGGAAAATCAGGGGTCTGTGCTCGGAGAGCAGTGATTCCCGACTCGCTTTGTGGAGATCTTGAGGTACCATCTCGTCATTTGTCTAATAATTAAAGGTGGTGATACAATCTGGTTCTACCTACCTGGATAAAGACTTTAGAAGCAAAAGCCCCTCGCTGCTTCCCAACCTCTGCCCGTCCTCACGCAGGAGTTGGGGTGCCCGAGGGGAGCGGCCGCAGTCAGAGGGCAATTTGTCTCCCCCCCCAGGGCTTCCCCAACCTCCCCCGTCTGATGTCTGATGCTTTCACTTGCCCTCAAGTTCAGGCCTCAGCCTCTTTGGGGATGGAGGGCTCTCATTTGCATGCCTCAAATGTCTCTGGGTAGGGTGAAATTCAAAAGTAAGTCCCCACCGTGGTTTTAGCCAGGTTTCGCTTTGAATATCTGGGTTACCTCAAAGCAAAACTGAGACAGAGCCCTGGGCTAGCTCACACGATCTCAAACCTCGGACTGTCACGCGTCTCCACGAGCTGCTAGAGCGAAATTATTCACAGCCCTTTCACCCAGCCATCGCTCCCCTTAGAAACCAGATGAGACGCCCCCGATCGCAGCGGCGAAACCGAGAGCAGGATTTGTTTTTTCGTGGCTGGCTCCTTATTTAGCTGGCGGAAACGCCGGCGGCGATCACCGCTGACATCGAGCAAACCCACTCTCGCTTTCCACACCAGCGCCTCCCGCAGCCCTCGCCACGCCGCTTTTCGGGGAGCAGGACCCCGTGTAAGGCTGGGAGGTTTGGGGGGGTCCTTGTGCCACAGACCCCTGATGGGTTTCCAGCTGCTCCCGTCTGCTGGGGCCTGCTGGAGGAGGAGGAGGACGAGGAGAAGGTGGAGGAGGTTGAGGCAACTCAAGGAGATGCAGCCAGGAGAGGACACCGCTCTACAGGGATCCTGATGTCCCCCTGCCCAACCCAGGGTCCGGAGGGCTCTTCCATGTCCCCACAGCATCGCCCTCACGAGCTCTGCAGGCACACCTGAAGGCCCTGGGTCCATACAGGAGGCCGCAGGCACCTCGTCAGCTGTAGGGGTGGGTAGAAGAGGAGCACCTGCTGCCTTAAGGGGTCAAGGGCCCCTTTCAAGGCAATATGGGATCGGAGGGAAGGGAGGAGGTGATGGGAACCAAGCCTGCTCAGTCACGCTGATTTAGGAACGTGTGGGAATGTTTGTTCCTGCAGGGTTGTCTGGTGGAGGACTTCTAAGCCGGGAGGCGATGACCAGAAACAGGACCTACCCAGCCACGCTAATTGGTGAGCTAACGAGCTCCAGGAGCCACTTCCAGGAAGGACGAACCTCGCAGCTGGTAAGATTATCAACTGGGGGACCCGGACAGGGAGGGTGAAAAATAAACTGCAGAGCCCTGCAAACCCATGGGGTGTGTGGGGGGAAGGAGGAGCAGGAGGAACAAGGGGAACAAGGGGGGGGGGTGGTAAAAAAGGGCATAAAAGGGCTGATTGTGTGTAAAATGTGGCAGGTTGCTGTGCTTGTCTGGCTGACCACCACAGCCTGTCCTATCTTCTTACAATATTCCCTCATTAAATATTTAATCAGCTCTCTACTTGTGTGCGTACTTGTGGGCACCGAGAGCGTGGTGCGTGTGCCTGCACTCGTCTCTCTTCACCTCGCCGAGCGTCACTCATCGAGGGAGTGAGCGGCGCTTCCTGGTAGGTAAAAAGGTGCCGGTGCAGGTGGATTTATGGCCAGGGATAGTCCTCGTTACACAGGCGTGGGCACGGGCAGAAGGCAGGGGGAAAGGTGCCACGAGGAGGAAGCCCGTGCAGCACCTGAAAGCCTGAGGCTCACAGCCAGAGAAAACACTGATGCCTTTCCTCTTGGCAGATGGGGAACGTGAAGCAGAGAGAGATGCAGCTCCGGAGCCAGAGCCTGTCCGTGTGTCCCTCTTCCCAGCTGGGTGTGAACACAGCAGTCCCTCTTGCTCCTCAATCTTGCCCCTGCAATCCAGCATAGGGCCGGTTCCCACTGGTGCCCCCTGCCCCACACGGGGCTGTAGGAGCTGGGAGGCACATTATTCCCCTCACTGCACTTGTGGGGAGATCTCCTACAGCGGCTGTGGAGAACCGATGGGAAAACCTTGATAATAAACGCTGCGAGCCGCAGGACTGAAGTTATCAAAAAGTCAGTGCAGCTTTACTGCATTTCATGCCAATTTAATAAAATCTGCTTTCCATCTACCTCTGGAGGCACGTGACCAGCGTGATTGAAAGCAGGCCAGGAGAAGCCCGAATGAAAAACCCACTGCAGGTATAGGACAAACTCCAGTACGGGGAGGTAGGTGCTGATTAGAGACCATAAACACCTGAGGTGAAATAATGGGGCGAGCCGAGGCGGTGGAAAGCGCCTTGCTCTTAGGAACCATACGAGAAGGTGAACTGCAAGCTGATACAAGGCTGCTTCCGGCACCAGGTGGCCACGGCAGGGCTTTTTCACGTGCTGCTTGGCACACGGTGAGGTCTGGGGAGTAATTCAAAAGCCAATGTTCATGCAGCGCAAGGGTCTTGATGCGTTTCAGCTCTGCATCACTTCTGGCTGCTCTGTTGACAACCAGCATGGCAAGATCGAAGCCAGGAAAAGACAAAAAGACAGCACAGCTTCTTGTCCTTGTTATTCAGGCATCAATGGCAATCTAGAAGACACATTTCTATCCAGAAAGAATTTCTGAGAATTTCAAGAAACTTTGAGATGACAAAATTGTTAAAGAAAATAGGTATGGTGAGATGATTTCAGACATCCAATGGAAAAAAATAGTTCCCATGAGCACTATCTTTATCCATTAGATAGCAAACCCAAGAAATACAAGCAATCAGATACATATTCTTATTTAAATTGGTGATTAAATGGTTAGGCTTTAGTGATATTATCAGCTGCATGTTGGAAAGGAGCTGCTGGTTAGATATATTACAGCCTCAGGTGACTTTTGATAAGAGTTTACAAACAGTGTGGAAAGCATTCAAACAATTAGAGGTGGGTTTTACGTATCACTGACTTCCCCTTAACAGGGAAGTTAGCAGAGTAAACACATTAATCAATTGCAAAAATACATCATCAGAAAGAAACATAAGCTCCTCCTAGTAATCCTCCAACCACCCTGAATTCTTCTGCTCACAGAGATGTAAATGGCTTCAGCATTCAGGGCTTCTGTAGCTACAGTACCCAGGAAAATGAAATAGATGACATTTTGATAGACTGCTTTGAAATACAGAAGTACAGGATGAACGTTTCTTGAATGAAACCATTGTATTTATACAGTGAAACTCGATTTTTGGATTCACCCACCTACACTTCATGTCTGCAAAGCAGGTGTCTTCATGTGAGAAACAAATTTAAGCTGTAGTGATGTCTATGGAGACCCGAACAGTGGAGCTGGGACCTTCCAGAGAAAAAAGTAGAGAAAAAAGTGAATCAGAGAGCAATATTGGTTACAATCTGGTAGCCTGGTAAGTGAATTTAAAAAGAGTGCAGCTCTGTTTGCTGTTATTTCTGAGATTTGGGACATAATCCTGCTCTGATTTAAGTCAACGGGAGTTTTGCTATTGACTTCAGAGGAACCAGAATCAGGCACTTTGTCTGCTTCAGACCTGACTGTTTTATTTGGAAATATAACTTTTTAAAACACACACTTTTCTCTTAAAATGCTACAAAGTAGGGCAAGTAATTACATTAGGCTATACCTGAAGCTCCAGAGAATTAATACAAAGGCCGCTTGGCTCTTGCCAACTCTCACTATTACAGTTTTACTAGCACCATATGCAGCACTACCTTACCTGCTTGTTTCACTTAGTGAGCTCACTGGGGGCTTTCGCTATTTTTATATTTTTTAAGGAGCTTGCAATATACACAAACAAAAGCTCTGGGTAGCGGGGACCAGCTTGGTGGCCCATATGGTGTCCGTATCACAGAACTCGGAGATGGAGCAGGTCTGTTTGCTCAGCAACCCCATCCTTTTTGCAAATGTGCGAGAGTTGGCTCGGGAAAAGTTCTCTTTTGGGTGGTTTGTGTGGCTTGCTGTCAGGCAAGAACCCGTGAAGTGAGATTTCCCGTGGTATTTGGAGCACCCCAATGGCCCCAAAGTGGCCCCAAAGGCCAGGAGCTGGGAGGCTGGGACAGGACTGGCTGTGTCAGTCCCGGGGCTGTGGGAAGGCTGGGGACACTTGTCTGAGGAAAGGGTTTGTGCAGAGGAGAGTTTCTGCTGGAAAAAGCAAATCCTGTGATATTTGTGCCACTAATCCTGAGGCAGAAGAACAGAATGCAAATTTAGCTCCAGCTGCAAATCACACAAACAAGACTTCATGTAAAAACCAAGGTAGGGATTATCCTCCAACAGACAGCTTTGCTAGGGCAGAGTAAAAGTTCCTGCATGCAGTTTGGCTCACTCTGACCACTCTGAAGTAGAGGTGAGGTCTGAAGAAGAAAAGGAAGAGGGATTTGTCACCACAAGGCTTGAAAACGAGGTGAAGTGTCTCATGTACCACACCATACAGCAGCATGGAGGCAGTCACAGCCACGACAGCCCACTTGCCCCTGGAATTTTTGTTTCATCCAAGCTAAAAGTGCCGTGTGGTCAAGCCAATGATGAATTTGGCTCTGGCTGAGGGCAGGCCAGGAGCTCTTCTAGCCCTGAGGTGGGCGCTGAGGGGGGTGTGGGAGTCCAGTGGGTGTCTGGAGGAAGCAGTGTGAGCTGGAGCAGGGATTTAGGGAAGAAAGGGCTGGAAAAGGAAGGGAAAGGTGGTAAACTCAAGAGAGTTGTTCCTCAGAAATGGGTTTGGTGTTTTACTACAGTGTGTGGATAACTTCTGCCCCCCCTAAAAAAAAGATGCACCTTACTGAAAGAGCTCCATCATCGGGATCCAACCGAGTTCAGGTTGTCACAGAACTAGGTTTTGTCGCCAGAAGATGGCTGGTATTGGCTACTCCTGGAGTCAGAGAGAAAAAACAAATTATTTCCAAGGAAAAGATAAAGGTTTGAAATCAAAGGTTCAGCCTTCAGCCTCATGTAGATTCTCCTATGCCTTTGCCCACAACACGTGTAAGGGTTTGGGGGGTTACTGCTCTTACACTGCCTTGTGATGTCCTGGTAGCTTGAGCCGTGACCACCACAAGGCCCAGCCATGTGCAAGTCAGACACTGCAGGCTTTAAGACACCAGGCCCCAGGCCATGGACCCCTCCAGTTCTCCTCATCCCCCTTGAAGTGGGGTCCCAAAAGAGGACATTGTACTCCAGCTGTGGGCATGCCAGTGCCAGGGAAGGGAAAAGTACACGGTGAAAGTACAGGGAAAGCTCTCCGGGCCTCAGCCTCGTCTTGCAGGCCCATGCATGGTGCTCACCACCCACGGCCCCACAGGTGGGTTTCACACCCACGTCCCCTGGCTGTGGAAGGGGGTCTGAATGCCCGATAGGACTTGTAGGAGAAGCAGGGCAGCTCCAGTTACAGCTGGAGCTTGGGTGTCAAAGCACCGCAGCGCTCTCCCCAAGCCGTGCATACAATTAGCCGTACTTGCTGAGTAAATTCGAGCAGCGCCCGCCTTACGTTCTCTTGTTTCTCGAGTTCACGTTACAGCCTAGGACGTACCAAAACACGGTTTTATATGCTAATTTCCTTACAGTAAAACCCTTACTATATGTCGTTCATCGATATCAAGCGGTGTACATGCAAGAAAAGGCTGATATTATGTATATATTACCAATTTTATGGGTTCAAGAATTACAACGTGCTTGCTTTATTTAGGTGGTAAACTTTTTTAATGAGTCTGGAGGGTCCTTTACATAAAAGTAGTGACTCTATCTTGGAATCTCTTTCCATGTTTATTAGAAATGTGTTTTACTTTACCATGAAAAAAGCCAAGGAAACATGCAGCCTTAAAGTCTAATGAAGTAGTTACTCATGCAGTCAAAGTTCATAAATTTTAAATACATTTAATTTATAAATTGAAAACATAGCTTGCACTGGCTTTTTCAAGATTATTGCTTTCCACAGGGGTCTCAGGATAGTTGCCGAGCCATGCTTGTTGCCTCTTTTCTTTCAAGGCTGAGGCTAGATCGTCGCAATTCACACACATTCATTCTGATGCTTTTAGGAGAAATAAATAAATAAATAAATAAATAAATAAATAAATAAAGCATTTTCAAAACAGCAGCTCCTTAAAATATTAAAAATCGTAACCCAGCCCGCAGCCTCTTTGTTCTCAACTCAGATAAGGTTTGCTTCTGAGCTGACACTTTAATAGAGAGCTCTTTCTCCTGGTGAGAAACCCTTTGTCCCCCTGGAGACCTCTTTTCCAAGCTAATTGCGGAGCGTGTTCCCTGCAGTGGCAGCCTGAGCCTGACTCCAGTCTCACACCAATAAAACCTCGGTACCAACCTGGGTCAGGAGCCCAGCCCCTGGGAAGAGGGAATTTAGGGAAGGGGGAAACAAGCTGGGGTTTCCCCCAGGGGATGCGGTGCAGCAGCGAGGTGAGGCAGCAGCCCACCGGTGGCTGCAGGATGGCTGCTGGGTGGCTGGGAGACCAGAGGGGCCATTACTGGGGCTGTGAATAATTTTAGGGGGATGTTATCAAAAATGGGATGTGCCTATGGTAAGGGGAAGCATCGAGCCCACCGTAGCCGGAATCATGGGTTTGGTATTGAATTTTGGTTGTGTTGTTGTAAAATGAAGCTTGGGGGGTTGCCTGTAGGAACCTAAGGGTACCCAAACGGGTCAGTCATACCCAAGCCGCTTCAAAAGGTTGTTTCTGCCATTTGGCCTCCAGTGACGGGGGTCACACCACAACACCCCTCACCCGGGCGCTCCCGTGAGTCACCCTCCTGCCAGCAACGAGGACTTTTCCAACAGGGGGCCCACGGAAAGGCCGTGTTTGTGTCGTTCAGCAAGGTCACTCAACCCCCAGCCATGAGCACGACTCCAAGGCCTTCTGCAGAAGACATCCGTGAGGTGAGAGCACCTGGACACCTCCCCGCTCTGCACCCCGTGCCTCCCATCACCTCCACCCCTCCGTCCGAGAGCCCCCAGGTAGCTGCGGAGCCAGCAGCACGCGGCAGGCCCGGCCGGCGCAGGGAGCAGGGCCGGTAATTGGAAAGGGGAATTGCAAAGCACCAAAGCTTATCAGCAGACAGCCGGGGAGAGCTTGGCAGCCCTCCTCGGGAGCACCAGGTCCTGAGCGGGTTTGCAGCCTCTGGCCCGGTGGCACGGTGCAGACGTGTGTGGCTGCTCCGCTCGGGGCGGCATGGGAGTGGGAAAACTGTGGTTTTGGGGGAGCCTGAGGCACAGCACACAGCACTAGCTGCTATTTCCTGATGTGTCTTTTACTCACTAAGGCTATAGTCTAAATATAGCCCCGACAAGCGCTGGCAGACGTGGGTAAACTCAGGACTTTAAAGCCTGGCCCCTTTAGCAGGAGTCACTCAGTCATTGCCCAGGATGGGTCCCACTGGTCCCCAGCCAGCAGTCCCTCCCTCACTCAGCAATTTATTCAAAAGAGTGGGCAAGCACCAAGGAGGGAAGGAGCACGGCTCCACGGTGGGGATTTTAGCCTATATCCCATCCAAACTTCTGCAGGAGTTTCCCCTGTCCACCCCTCTTCCCAGTTACACAAGGGTTGGAAAAGGTGGACAAGGGAGAAAAATTAAATGCACATTTGCTGTTACACGGTGCTGAATGAAGCTTAAAAGGATTAAAAATAACAAGGTTATGGGTGTTTAAAGGTTTGTTGTCATACTCTACATACAGGAATATGGTTGTGATCTCTCACATGTTGAAATACGTTACTTGCCAGCTTATTACTGATTTCCTTTTTTTGTCCATCCATAACAGAACAGGCTTTCCAGTGCAATGAAAGCCCAGGACAGTCTCCAGGACTCCTCAGAGGAGCAGCCTCCCATGTGAGTTTGTAATCTACCCAGGAACTCCTCAGCTCATCCACCTCAGTGTGGCTTCCTCGGAGCAAACCCAAGACAACACTTCCTATGCCTCGAATGCCTGGCTTCCCTTCTATTACAATACGTGAAGCAGCACAGCATTTTATAGAGACATAAAAGCTTGTACGGGGCACGACACCCTCGTCAGAAGTAATCTGCCTTTCAGTGAATGGCCTTACTTCCATACTCAGATAATTTGCCCCCAGATAATTTTTTTTTTTCTCTGTAGCTGGAAATATAACACTCCATTTGTTCCCTTAGGAGAACGGTGTGAGAAAAAAAAAAAAAAAAAAAAGCTATCAGTGAGCAAATATTTGGTGGCAAAGTCAAATGAATGATGTTCTTTTGAGATAAATTCTCTTTCCTTACAGCTGAGTAGACAGAGATTAAGATATACGAATCCGGGCTCCTTGCCAATTCCTCCCCATCTGCTGTCAGGAACAAATGCTTCGTTATTTGGCTCAGTGCGGTAGCAAAGAGCAGCGGAGAGGGCAGTGGGCCATGGCCATGCCCTCTCGTTGGTGTTTCTCCACCCACAGAAGCTGCTTTTTCCTGAAACTTCCAGCCCCAATGCTCCGTGTTAGTGACAGGGAGAGGGCCAGGGCTGGCTTGCCAGCAGCGGTGCATAAAGAGAGCACCATTCAGGGAAGAACGTGTGGATAGAAGAGAAATGGAGGAAGATGGATACGTGAGGCTTGTGAAAAACAAAGGTGGGTGTGGGGAATCAAGGGAGAAGGATAAAGATTTCTGGTGTCCCTGGGAGATCAAGGCACGTCCTGTCAAGAGATACAGGCTTGGGGATTCAAGCCTGATCAAAGCTGACAGAGCCACGCTCTTCTTGGTGGTGCCAGAGGATGTAACAAGGGGCAACAGCCACACATGGTGGGTGGGGAGGCTCAGGCTGTACACTAGGGAAACCTTCTCCACCTGGTGCCCCAGGGAGGTGACAGAGGCTCCTTCCTTGGAGGTCCTTGGGTAAAGTCCCATTGGGGTTGTTCAGCCTGGAGAAGAGGAGGCTCTGGGGAGACCTTATAGTGGCCTTACAGTACACAAAGGAGGCTACAGGAAAGCTGGGGAGGGACCCTTTGTCAGGGAGTGTAGGGATAGGAAAAGGGGGAATGGCTTTGAACTAAAAGAGGAGAGATTTATGATATAAGGAAGAATTTTATATCTATATCTATATCTTCCTTATATCTATAAGGAAGAAATTCTTCACTGTGAGGGTGGTGAGGCCCTGGCACAGGCTGCCCAGAGAAGCTGTGGGTGCCCCATCCCTGGAGGTGCTCAAGGCCAGGCTGGATGGGGCTGTGGGCAGCCTGGGCTGGGGGGAGGTGTCCCTGCCCATGGCAGGGGGGTGGAGCTGGGTGGGCTTTAAGGCCCCTTCCAACCCAAACCATTCTGTGATAGTCCTGCTTTGAGTGGGGTCATCTCCAGGGTCCCTTCCAAACAACATTTCTGTGATTCTATAATCTTATTTCTTTCCATAAAACTTAACAATTTACATACTGTCCTACTTTGCTAGCACAGATGAAATCTGAGAGAAGCTGCAAACAATCAACACAATGGCAGCCACCAGCACAAGATACAGGACTTGCTACAACCCAAATTTATCACACAACTCAGAGCAATGAGTGCATGGGTTGCGTACTCAGCTGCATGCATTTTTCATTCAGCCTGATCCCACAAACATACAGATGTCCTTTATTAAGTCTTTCCCACCGCATCAGAGGTGCTGAGGCACTAGCGGACTCATCTGTGGATTGTCTGTAATCACTTCCAGATTCCCAAATCTTGGCAGGCCGAGCTACCAGGGGTTGCTCTTCTTTTGGCTTGCAAAGCTCCTGGAGCATACAGTGTGCTCCAGTCACAAACACAGCACTCAGAGGCACCGTGGTCCACGTGAACCCACAGACTGGGTGCACTGTCAGCCTACCAGACTACCCTTCTACACCCATTCATCTACGTGAAGAGGGAACTGTATAAAATTCTCATCCATGATGAAAAAGCATCCTCAAACATACCATACGTATCCAGTTTGGGTATCTCTGAATACAGCACGGCAGGCGCCAGCATTGTATAACGCCAGAATAATAACCACACCTTCCACACTTAAATTTTCTACTGTTTTAATTCTATTTTTAATTCAAGTATTCTGCACATTGCAAAGCCACTCTAGTAGGAGACCACTTAATCTGCAAAAAAAGCTGACTTGTGAGAATCTTGTCCCTGGCAGATTTGGGGTTGTGCTGCCTTTCTTCGTCATGGTGGCACTGCACCATATTTCTTCGTGTTCAAATCTAAACATGGAAAACAAAAAGATCTCTTCCTGAGCAGTCCAAAGCAAGCATTACAGACCTACCCGCCACGTGGGAGTGTTTACAGATGATTTTCCTGGTAAGAATCTCATGGCTGAGGTTTGCCTTGTTAGCAAAATAACACCTCAAGTGAGATTCTTTTCTCGACAGCCACTATTTTCAGCTCCTACACGTCTGCATGCTGATGGTGTGTGTGCAGTGTACCGCGATTTCCAGAGAAAAGGTCACTGAGAACACCTTTATCTTTTTGCCAAAACTTTCTGAGCATTTGTGTCTCTTCCCTATGTAAATTACACGCACTGATATTTTCACATCTGAGCAACCGTCCTCCCACCAGTCTTAAACCGAAGCAGCAATGTTGTGTTTATCTGTAATTCACATAACCTTACTGGCTTTGGTGGGTATGGAAGATATGAATCAGGATGTAATCTGAAATTTCCAGATTCCTCGGATTTATAACGTATTTGTTACAAACAATAACAGAGATGATAACTCCCCTGGCTGACGTTTTATATCAATTTTTGACGTCCTAATCCCACTGATTGTTATTTTAATTAAATCTTAGAGTAGCCTCCATTTTGTTACTGATTGGGACGTATTGATAAAAATACTAAAAGCATGTGAAATAATGCCTGCGCCAAGTTCCGAAAGGAGATCTTACACAAAAGTGAATAGGAAGACCACCCACTCCCGGTGCTCCCCTTCCCCTGAGTCATTTCAGCACTCCCAGCTTTGCAAAGGGCAGCGGCGGCACCTATGAAAGAGCTTTGGCTGCAAACAAGGGCAAATAACATTATTAAACCAGTCTGTGGGTGTGAGCTGACAAAACTACATATTGCAGAGTCCCTACAGTCTACCCATTATAACATTGCACCTCGTGATTTTTTTTCATCCTTCAAATTTCGATACTCAGATGCCCTTTAGAAAGCAAAAGGACTTCTTTGTCGGAGCAGTTGCAGTTTATTTTTTTTTTAAACTTTGGACCATTCTGATATTCTCAGAGTTAAAAAAAAAAAAAAAAAAAAAAAAAAAAATCTACTCTGTTTTGTGCTGTCCTCCCTCTCCACCCCTCTTTCTTCCTCTTCTGTCTTCCACACGCTTGCCCGATCCCTTGCTTCCTCTTTCCGACCTCACAGCAGTTTAATGAAGAACGCGTTTCCCCGGTGCGCCCATAAGGGCATCACGTGGGACAGCCTTAAAGCTTTACTTGTGTTGCCTGCCTACAAAAAACGAAGCCACCTTTTGCACCATCTTTTTTTATCGCCAGGTCATTAAAGACCTTCTTTTGTGGCCAAAGCGGTCTCTTCCCCGTCCTCGCTGTGAGTCTCCTGCACCACCGCAGTTTTTCATCGGATCTTCAGCGCCTCTTTTAGGAACCTTTTAGGAACCGACAGTCCTCCAGGGTGCCCTTTCCCATTAAAATTCCTTTCCACAAGACTGCATTTACCAATTCTTTGAGTGGGTTGAAGTCTTCTGTTTTAAGTTCATTATTCCATTGCTTCCACTCCCGTCTCTCCTGAAGCTCTAGAGCTGTGCTGATTTGTGATCGTTTCCACCCAGGTCGCCTTCCTTTCAGCCACTTTTCCCACCTTACAGCAGCAAAGCTAAAGCAAGCAGGTACAGCCTCCTGCCACCGGGCAGGCACTGAAACAAAAAGCCACTCTTTAACCCCAGAACTTCAGGAACAGGCTGCATGGTGCAGTCGCCCCCCCCGGACACATAATTAGGACAGAATTTCTAATGCTGTCAGATGGATCCTGCAGGAGGTGACGTGCATCACTTCCCCAGCCACAGAGTGCAAATCTGCTGCGTGCCGGGATCTGGTTCAGGGAATCAGCTCACTGCAGCTGAAGTGCTGGGCTTGCAGCTCTGCAATGAGCTCCAAGCAGAAAGCTCCCACAGGAGCTGGAAGCCAGCTCAAAGGCTTCAGCTCTGAGCTGTCCCTCGTTCCTGTAAGCTGTAGGATGTAACTGACTGGAAACAGACTTGTCTGTGAACTTTAACGCTGCACTGACGTCCCTGTCCAGGGACTATTTCCCCGGTTACCAGAAGTCAAATGTTCAGATGTGGTTACCAATTTTGCTTGGTTCTGATCTTGGATGCTGAACTTCTCCCTGAAGCCAAGGGAAGTGGAACCAGCCAACACTGAAAGTCACACACAGGTTTTCTTAAGAAAGGGCAACAACAATTAAAAAAAATATATATCAAGGCATATAAATTCCAAAATGCAGAATTTAGAAAAACAGGATTTTTTTTTTATTATTATTTTTTGGATTTCTCCCAGAAACAGAGACTATATTTGTCTGTTAGGGTGAATACTGAAAGAATTATCTTCTAGTTTTACCAACAGCATCTTACACAGTATTTACAACATGGCAATATAACATTCACCTTTATTTTCACTTCAAGCCATAAAGCACTTTTATTGCTTTTATTTCCAAGTGTAAAGTTTAAAACAGCCAAGTAAAGCTCTTTCAGGTGTCGGGTTCCCCCAGAATTAGGGGGCTAGGCGCACTGAATCGCCGCTACCATTTAACACGCGTTCTGTTTCTTGCCACTCTCTGTCCCGCTTTTGCTTTTCTCAGGCTATTTATTGCCTTCTTTCCTTTCCCCACTTTCCATTTCAGGCTGCCAAGGGGAGAGCAGAGTCCGACCCCCGCAATGAAATGCTTCACCTGCGGAGCCTGCTGAGAGTGAAATTGATAAAGTGCAGCACCAGCCCAGGCAATTTCACTCACAGCGGGCACTTGCAGGTGAAGCACCGCCATAAAATGGGGCAAGGTTACTCGCTTGCCACCTTCCAGCACAAATCACCAGCTGATATCTCCTCCTTTCGCAATCTTTTCACCCATTTCCTGCCGGGCCCTGGTTGTTCTGACCCCAGAGCAAGAGGCACGAACCAGCCACGTGCCATAGCCCTCTGCAGGCCACCTCCCATCGTCATCCTGAGGAGGACGCCCACGGTCCTACAGCCTCTCTGGGTGCTACAAGAGTGCCACAGAGCACTTTGATGGGACAAAGATGACTTGCAGCTGTTTCTGTAGCATCTGATGAGGGTGTCAGCCTGATGCCTGGTGTAATTTAAGACAACCTATGCATCATTTTAGCTGGTGGCTCCCCAAGTGCTATTTCAGCACAGGTTAGGTCCCAAGGGGTAAGTAGGGGCAACACAACATGCTCAGGCATCACTTTGCACAATCCCACTTCCTCTGATGCTTGAAAAGCCAGCATATGAGAGAACAACTTTTCACCAGCTTGGGATTTTATTTATTTTGATGGGAATATTTCCCAGAAGTAGGGTCTGTGAGCTTGATTGGCACTGGGGGCTGAGATTTTTCCCTCAGACTGGTTAGTGTAAGTAGTCATGAGAGAAACGTGGCAATGCAGAGCAGGGAAACTGCACTCTGACATCTCCTGTTTTCAATACTGGAAGCAGAGGATGAAAATTAAAATCTCCATATTTAAAATAAATAATCAGATTTTTTTTTTCAAACAATTCATAATGTATTTGTCAAGCTAAGATGCACCATTTCATACCCAACACCAAAGTATTTTGAAATCGAGGAAGGCTTAATCCTTTACGGTAAACAGTCATTGCAATTAGATCACATTGCTAACACAGGTAAGTTATCTCATACTCCAGGGCACAAAATTCCAGAAGTGAAGAGATTCCTGAGAAACTCCCTTTCTAAGCAGCACTTCCTATGGAGCTTGATCCATAGGAAGCCTGGACAGCGTCAGACATCTGGTAGAGCAATCCCTATAGTACTAGCTGGGAGAAATGTTATCATAAATATTATTTCTATGAGTCAAGAAATACCCACTTACAAAATTTAAGGACTGAAATTAAGACCTAAGAAACATAATGCACGCTCAATACATCTGAATGCTTTGCTCCTAATTTGGCACATAATTCCCAATTTAAATCCATGGAAAAATGGAAGCCTCAAAAGTATTTAACTGCCTGAATTCCTTCACAGATCTTGTCTAGATTTCCACCAGCCACATCCCAAATTGGCTCTACAGCTTTTACAGCATCATTCCAGAAGGCTCCTCATAATCTGAATTTCATAAACGTGATTTGTCTTACAATGGCACAAAATTCACCATCAGGAATTAGACTTGGGGAAATCTTTGTCCATGAGTGCAGATTTCTGCATGAGTTGCCACAGGATATTGGGCAAGAATACTTGAGAAATTTGACCACAGATTAATTGGTAGTAACCAAATGGTGCCAGTTGTCTGTGTGTTTCCACTTACAGAATAGAATCGGTTTAATATAGATATATATATTAATATATATATATATAATGTATATTATATATATATATATATACATATATTTCAGCTTTTTTATTATTATTATTATTTTAAACTCTACTTTAACTCTTATCTAAGATCCAAGAAAAGACTGTTCAGGACAAAATATAGATAGATAGATAGATAGATAGATAGATAGATAGATAGATAGATATTCATATTCTTTGGCCAGCTCATAGATACCCTCTGGACAGAACTAAACTTCCTCTACTGACTGATTTAAGTCTACTCCAGGATGCGTCTAGAATGGGTCGGTACCCAGATTAGCTTGATCTGAAAGCTCTCAAAAAACAGTGACCACCAAGAGTGCCATTTACGCTTGGAACTACAGTGATGCTACTAATTACTAACCATGCTGACTGCTGAACTAGTAACCAGCTGAATGGATTTGGGGGTCATAGAGCTATGAAAAAAAAGAAAGCACTCTCCTTTGTTTTATCCACAAACATATTCCACTTTTTCCTAATATAAAGGTTTGTTTCTTTCTAATTCCTGTAATTGGTACTAATGGTAGCAATGATTGCATGATTACGCCCCGAGGGCTGAGCAGACTAATTGGTGCGGCCTGAACCAGGCCTGCTCCCAACACGGCAGAGGTGGGCCAGGCAGGCAGCAATCCTCCCACGCTTTCTCTTGTGCTGGTTTAAAACTCACCAGGGACCCCACAGCAACCTTACCTATAGCAACTGCTGAAAACGGTCATAAATTCAGCTTCTCCCAAGGCCATTACTGCTTGGTCTGTGCTGTGGCTGGTGCCACGTGCCCACTCTTCCTCCTAGAGGAGCCTGTTTGATGTTTGCTGAGAGGCATCGCCACTTCTCCCTTGGCACACTTCCCTCTCTGAAGGCTCTGCCCTATTGCCTAGGCTAAGCGGTCAATTTAAGCTCAATTTAGCCTTGTATACACAGTGACAGCTGTATAATCTTCCCAGCATTTTCCTTGTAGGTTTAGTATTAGTCTTCACCTGGCAGATCTCTCTTTATGTCATTCAGTCACTCCCTTTTACTTTCGTGAGTCAGCTATCGGACTTGTTGCACGTTTCTAGCACCGTCTGAAATAGTGTGAAAAAGCACATAGGTCTCTTGGTAGTGTACCAAAAGCCTGAAAGGAACTGTGTTAAATGTTTGAGGTCGTTCATAAAGTGACGGCAGGTACTTAAGCTAATTCCTGAGAAAAGATTCAAAAAATAATAATAATAAAAAAAAGCAACCAGCAGATGTGCAAGTAATAAAACCAAGCAAGCACAGCGATGGCACAACCAGCTAAGTTTCTGCGTGCTGTGTGGTTAGTCCAAATACTGCACTGTTTGCTTAGGAGGTGAATTGGCTCCTGTTCAAGAGGATAGGCTCTTCCTGGAACAGCTGCCATGCTTTGACCTGGAGGAGAGGCACACGTCACACGCCACCGTGCCCCGCGGTGTATTTGCAGGTTGCAGCGCAGCTGTTGCAATGATCCTGAGCCACATCTACCCACAGGAGAACCGTGCCTCAGGAAAGAGGGCACAAAGCCAGCAGGACCTCTGCCCTGGCACCTTGCTGGCATTGCTGCCATGCAGCACCATGGGCTGAGGGAAGCTCACGCCATGCCTCCACTCCCGCCAGTCCCATAGGTAATGTGGTCAATGACATGTCCCTGTTGGCAAGGAAGTTTTAGATCTACAAAAGGACAAAGGCACTCGATGTGCTCATCTTCCCCTTCTGCTGTAATCCTGCTCTGCTGCCATCTTATCGAGGAGGCACACAGACCCCTCCATCGTTGGGATCAGAGCTCCCTAAAAACTGGCCTCCAATCACTTGCAGAAGTACCTTACGTTCAGCAGTACTGTACTGCTCAGATCTCCTCAAAGCAAGGTAGCATCAGCCTTCACAAACTGTAATCCCTGACCTGTTTTATCTCCATGAAGTGCTCAGGCACAATTAATACACCTGCTGGGAGTAGGGGGCAAATGGTTGCCAGTGGTCATTATGGAATCACAGAATCATTAAAGTTGGAAAAGCCCTCTAAGATCATCTGGTCCAGCCATCACGCTACCACCAGTGTCACCCACTAACCCATGTCCCCAAGCACCACATCCAACCTCTCCTTGAGCACCCCCAGGGACGGTGACTCCACCACCTCCCTGGGCAACCCGTCCCAGTGCCTGACTGCTCCTTCTGAGCAGAAATGTCTCCTCATTGCCAACCTGAACCTCCCCTGGAGCAACTTGAGGCCATTTCCGCTGGTCCTATCATTAGCTACCCATGAGAAGAGGCTGACCCCCAGCTCCCCACCCCTTCCTTTCAGGTAGCTGCAGAGAGCAATGAGGTCTCCCCTGAGCCTCCTCTTCTCCAGACCAAACACCCCCAGTTCCCTCAGCCGCTCCTCACAGGCCTTGTGCTCCAGGCCCTTCATCAGCTTCGTAGCCCTTCTCTGGACACACTCCAGGGCCTCAATGTCCTTCTCGTAGTGAGGAGCCCAAAGCTGAACACAGCACTCAAGGTGCGGCCTCACCAGAGCAAAGTACAAGGGGACGATCACCTGCCTAGTCCTGCTCGCCTGGAAAACTTTTAATCAGTTTCTACCTCTACCTGATGAGGTCCTCACACATACCTCTCAGTTCTAGAAAAAGACCAAACAACCAGTCTAAGGGCTACTTATCAGCATGGCATTTTTCCCCAAAATGAAATTGATCATGAAATTACTGGAGCAGATTCTATCAAGAGAAAAATAAACAAATAAATAAATAAATAAATAGAGCATTCATTTACAACACACTTTCTACATGTCATGTATTTCTATATAGGGGAGATCATCTGCAGGAAGGTAGATTTGGGTTTCCGCTGAAATTATTGTTTGCCTATGCTATATTAAGTTTGGTTTTTTTTGTTTGTTTTTTTTTTTTTTTTTTTTTTGGTTTTTTAATGTTAAAACGATTATTAGCACTAAAATGTATGTTACTTCCAGTTAGTGCCCTGAACACTATGCAGGAGAGTAATCCTTAACTGTGTGCTTGCACTCCCCCCAGCAAGTAATATTTACCTGTTCCACACAAAGGGGAATAGCCTCCCTACAGCTTGGCATAGAAGGAATATAGTGGGAGAATGCATAAGCCACTAACAAGTAGCATATAAAAGCCTTTTAAAAGTTTGTTTCCAAAATTATCAACTAAACTATTGGAGTTGTGAAGCCCTGAAAGGAGGCAATTCTCCCAGGCCAATCATTAGCAGCAAAAGTTGAGAACAACCACAACAATGACAACAGTTATTCTGAAGAGTTTCTGATAAAAAAGGGATAATATTTTTCAGTGAGTGACACGTTTTGCCAGCAGTTTGTGACACCCCTGCATGCTTTTCTTTGTGTTTTCTTATCAGAATAAATTCTCAGTAAAAAAAAAAAGCCACAGGCTGTTCTTTTGCTTTAGCTTCTGTCGATTCACTAATCTCTGAAACAGTCATGTTTCCGGTGTCTTGCATAATCTTGGAATTTCTGCTGATAAAACCTGTGATACTTGTTCTTCTGGTACTAAAAACACACCCAATGCTTTGTTTCCTATGGCTGCAAAACCTGCAGCAAGGGAATCCAAGAAGTGAAATTCTCAACCAAATTCCCACCGGAGTTGTCATCAAACTAGAGAAGGCAGGTTGTGCCCAGGCCAATGTTGGATCTCACTGACCATGGCCATTCCTGGGTTATAATCCACGGTTTTAGCTGCTCCAAAAGAGCCACCATAGTGAATGAATTATGCAGCCTGCGAATTGTTTTTACATGCCACCTTTGAGCCTGAAAAGAGAAAGCATCACAGAATCCAGCATCATATACACCTCAGTGTTCCTGGGACAAAGTGGCAGGCAGAGCACCTGCTAAAACTCCTCTGAATCAGCAGGTTTTGTAGTCAGGAAGGCAGAGTAAGAGGAGGGATTTACACAGAGCACAAGGCACACCATGACTCCTACTCATCGTGTAGCGTTTGGAGCGTTCTCAGGGAAGATGAGGATTAAATGGGCAAAGGCTTTTAAATATTCTCTCATGCAAAGGAATGGAATTAGGCCCACAAAAGTAATTTGCTTGGAATATTAACCTGGGAAATGGGAGATATGTTTGAACTCCCTTGTGGCAGAAAAGAAACTGAACCCGGGTCATTTACAACCTGATTACCCTAACCATGAGTAATTTTAAATAAAAAGAGCGAACTGGGATTTCTTCTCCAGCTGTGCTTGTCACAAGCCTTGATCTTATAATTGTGCTCTTAGGATATCTACGGGATGAGACAAGTAGGAATTAGACTTTGGAATGAGAAAGATGGATGAACAACTTAAATTTTAAATATATGGAGATCATAAATATCTAATATGTAGTAGTTATGCTATGAATTAACATATATTTATATAAACATAGGAACGTCTTATGTAATGTAGAAAAAATATATAAATATATTAAAACAGCCCTACCTAAGGATTATATTATGTGGCCTAAGTGCTCAGTGCTGTGTTTGGTAGGTGCTGGGTGAAGTCACCCCCCTGCTGGCCCATCCTGCTGGGTGTCCATCCTTGATGGCTGCCCCAGGCACCCTTGGATCTCGTGGCAGAGTGCAGATCAGACCACCCTTCAGACAGCCCTGTCCCTTCCCTACTGCAGTCCCTTACCTGCCTAAGGACTAAGGCTGGGTTACAAACCACAGGGTTGCAACTCCCCTCCCCTCAAGCCCCTCAAGAAGTAGGAGCCCAGAGATACCCTGAGAATCAAGGGAATGAGCAGAAACACCCCAATATTTGCAAATGCAAGCTTTCCCTAGAGGCCATTGTTTGGGGTTTCCAGAGCTGCACAAATAACCCGAACTGGTGGAGTGCTGCAGGATGGCAGGAAAGGTCAAACAGGGATCTGATCCCTTCTCTATTATCAAAGCATATCTATAATAGTTTTGTATAAATAGCCTGTGTGCCCGCTATAGGGGGCACACGGACTGTGTATGTTTCACTTGTTTGTTTTTGGGGGCAAACAGGCTGTGTGTTTCTACGCCTGCCCCTTCTGTAGGGTTTCTGTGCGTGTTCCTTGTGCATTTTTGGTGGCTTGTCCCACACGAAGGCAGGCAGGGGCACTGGGGTGGGAAGGGGGCAGGGCTCCTGTGCACCCCGCATGCCCCCAGCACCGCTTCCCACTTTGGGTTGGGAAACAGGGTCACCCACTGCAAAAAAAATAAAATTTAAATAGTAAATTTTAAATAAAAATTAAAATAAAAAATAAAAATAAAATTAAGATAAAGATTAAGATTAAAAATAAATAAATAAAATATAAATAAAGTATAAATAAATATAACATATAAAATATAAATAAATAAAATATAAATAAAGTATAAATACATATAACATATAAAATATAAATAAATAAAACCTAAATAAAATATAAATAAATAAATAATAAAATATTGAAATGAAAAATAACAATTTTAACAATTATATTAAAATAATAAAAACAGCAACTATTTTAAAATTAAATCAAAATAAAATAAAAAAAAATAAAATGAAAATCAAGGTAAATAAAATAAAATCAAGATAAAATCGAGAAGCAAAATAAGAATTAAAACAAATAAAAATGAAACATAAATAAAAAATGAGGATAAAAATAAAATAAAAAATAAAAAATAAAAAATAAAAAATAAAAAATAAAAGAAAAATAAATAAAATGAAAGAAAATAAGAGAAAATAAGAGAAAAATAAAGAAAATGAAAGAAAATGAAAGAAATAAAATAAAATAAAATAAAATAAAATAAAATAAAATAAAATAAAATAAAATAAAATAAAATAAAATAAATAAATAAATAAAATAAAATAAATAAAGGGACCCCCTGTGCCCCCCCCCCGCCCAGGCAGCTCCGCCCCGTGCCCGGCGTTGCCATGGCAACGGTGTTGTGGGCGGGCCCGCGCGCTGCCCGGAAGCGGCGGGGCGCTGTGCGGGTGACGTGTCGCGGGCGCGAGGAAGCCGGAAGCCGGCGGCCGCGGAGGGCGGGGGGCGACGCCGGAGGAGCCGCCGCCGCCGCCCGTTGGTGCCGCGGGACCCGCCCCGCCTCGCGCCCCCCCCCCCGGCCCCTAACGGCCGCCTCACCGCCCCCAACCGCCCCTAACGGCCGCGCCGCCATGGCCCTGCGGCCGCTCCTCGTCGCCGTGGCGCTGTCGGCCGCCGCGCTGCCGCCGCCGCCCCTGGCCGCCGCCTTCTACCTGCCCGGCCTGGCGCCCGTCAACTTCTGCGAGGCCGACAGGGAGACGGCGGAGTGCAAGGTGAGCGGGGAGGGGGGGGGAGTGCCTGGTGAGGGTGAGAGAATGAGCGATCGGATCACTGCTATAGCATAACATTCCTATAAGCGGGTGACATTAAGCTTCCTGGAGTGGCCTTATTTTTTTCCGTGCTTTAGCTGAGTTCTTAGGATTGTCAGGTCGGTAATAACATGAAATTCTCCCCTACTTGGGGATTTAGGTCCCCAGAGCAGGCTTGCAAATGGTCCTGCTCCTGCGGGGGCTCTCCATGGGCCGCAGCCTCCTCCAGGCCACATCCACCTGCTCCTGGCCAGCGGTGTTTCCCTTTGGAGCCATCTGGAGCTGGCTCTGATCTGCCATGGAGCAGCTGCTGGGCTCTGCTCACAGAGGACGCAGCCTGTCTGCTATCAAAACCTTCCCATTTAAAACCAATACAACTTCTTATGGAAAATCGTAGCATTCAAGTAAATTTTCTCTGGCACTTTCGGGTAGACAACCTAAGGCCATGGTTGTGTGAGCAGCAGAGGCAGTCTAATTCCTTGCTGCTGGAAGTGAAATTTCATCTCTGTCTTTCTCAGCGTAATGTGGTGTTTTCCTCTGCATTGCTCTGGTTGTGTTTCTTGTTAAATTCTTAAGTGAGCTTATTAACGTGGCAGGAGGCTATCCAACTTTTTACCAGGCTAGTTTTCTGCAGTGTTAGTGAGTTGCAGCAGCTTACAGAGGTACGATAAGAAACCGTGAGCAGCAAGTCGGCATGGCTTAGAGAAAAGAGGAGCAGTAACGTGTGTTTATTTAGTGAGTCAACTTAACAGCTCTGAGCTTCCTACCTCTCCTGGAACTGCTTCCTGATTTGCATGTGGACAGGTGCAGCGTACCTGACCAAAGTGTGTGAGCTACAGAGACATGTGGTCAATTCCACATTATTTCTCCAAAATTTCTTGTTTGGGCTAGATGTGGGTGACTTTTCATAAGGAGGAAAAGCTCTCCTGCTGATTTAGGTGAGAAAAGAGATGGTTTGCTGTTGGAAGAGCGGGGTCTTGCTCCCTTTCAGACTAACAAACGGTAGTCTGAAACCACAGCAGACTGAATTTCAGGTTCTTGCTCAGAATTTGTTGGAGTTATTGATAATCTTTTATGAGAAGGTAAATGTGGATATCCTTGCTTTCTCTTTGGAGAGAGCTTCTTTTTAAACTTCAGATAATGCATCAACTTGGATACATTGTTTAAATCCCCCTAGTTGAGTTTACTCATAAAGAAAATTATGCACCGCTCTGCGTACTAGGAAGTACTGATCTCACCCATGCTTCTGTCCATGTCCTTTTATTACACTGAGGTTATGATGATGGCTAATACAGCTTGAGTGTACTATGCTAAACTAAAACACTGGCACCTGTGATCAACTTTCTGTCTTGTAATTTGAATTCTTACGTTAGCCTCACAGTGTTTTTGTCATATGGTTGCTTTTTTGTTTTTTTTTTTTTGATGCTTAGATAGTTTAACTTACAGTCTCAGCAGATATTATTCGTTATACAAGATTCTGTATCTCAAGACATACAGTTGCACAAATCTTACGTGTTCAGCTGGAGGCTTTTGTTTACCTTACTTTTACAAGTCGTGTATAAACACAGATATCTGTGTATGTATGGCAGAACTGTTGAAATATAACCACTGGTTATCTTGATTCTTGCAGTCTGGCATCGAGCTGTTTGTGAACAGGCTTGACTCCGTAGAGTCTGTCCTTCCCTATGAATATACTGCGTAAGTATATTATGCTCTTTAGACCGTTTTAGGTGTCAGTTCTTCCAGCAAGATAAATTTATTGCAAATTCAAGTGTTATTAGTGTCTTGATATGGTAGTTTCCCAGTGAGGAATGTCCGTTTGTTTTTCTTTTCTAGAATTTCCAACAAGAGGATAAATGTGATTTTTTTTTTTTTTTTCAGTTTTCTTTGCAGGCTCTCTAGAAGTAGTGCATGGGTTCATAGGCCCTCCTGTAGGTCGAAAATCACTGCTTAGAGTAACTTAACGTTACGTGCTTATTTACATACTTATTTTCATCCTTATTTACTCTTCTGCATTAGTTGTCACTTTACAGATCAAAGTATTGCTGCTGTCTATATGTTTGCCTATAGCCAAACGAATGAAGTGGTAACGAGGTGTGACCATACCATCAATTGTCTTAATGAGCTGTTAAGTGCTTTCTTGGTACGCGGCATAGGAGTGAGTGCACAAAACATGTCAGTGCCTGGTACAGCTATGTAAAGTCGTTGCTTCGAAAAATACTTGGATTGTTAGCATTGAAGAGATCAAGCACTGGTTATATCTGTGATTTAATGAACACAAATGTGGTATATTTGCAATTAGATTGGAAAAAAAGTTGGAGGATGAGCTATCAAAAGGTTTGATGAATGAATGTGTAATAACCTGTTTATTTAATGGCACTTACTGTAAAGCAGCTGTTTACTTTTTTTTCCCCCCCAAGAATCTGGCTTGTGTGCCTTTCTTTCACGACTATCATGAAACTCTCTGTGAAGACTTAATTCCTGGCTAAAATTCCTGTATAGATTGGAAAATTGTAACTCAAGGAAACTTTTGTGTTACCCTGTTTATACAAACAGAGTTCTGAAATAGCTGATGCAGAGATGTGATTGTTTTGTTGTCCTGCCCTGTAACAATCCCCCAATGCCCCAAAGGGGCCTGTGGTTTTTACACTTTGTATATTCAATTAAGAAACTGCTGTCTGGAAGGAAAACTGTATAGTTCCTTGCGCTGAGTGTGTTGATTTGGGGGCACTGTATGGTCTTTGACATTTGCATCTGCAAATACTTTATTTCTTCATCTTTTTTTCTAACTCAGGTTTGATTTCTGTCAAGCAGAAGGAAAGAAGCGTCCCTCTGAAAACCTTGGTCAAGTGTTGTTTGGAGAGAGGATAGAACCGTCTCCTTACAGGGTTTGTTCTCTGACAGGGGGGTTTAGTAATGCGTATGTTCTAATGTAACCAGAGGAGATCAGAAACTTGAAGATTCCCTTCGTGAGGGCTCAAAGTTCTCAAAGAACTTCAAAATCTGAAATTCCACATAATGAAGTATGTCGGTTTAACTGAATTGTAGCTTTATGCTTCGCATCATGAAGCAAATTCATGATCAATTTGCTTTGGCCGGATGTGTTGTGGAGGTCTGCACGTTTTGCAGCTGTATAGCAGAGGACTCAGCAGTGGCGATAGTTTGTCTGAAACTCACTTTCTCCAGCACATGTTGCAGGAGGGAAAGGTCTCCATTGAATCTGCCTGGGACAGTGTGGCTGCTGCGAGGTCAAATGACTTGGCTGCTGAACTGTTGCAGGAAAAAAAAAGATTTTATTTGATAACAAGTAACTCTTAGTGCAGGGATCTAACAATGTACTTCTGTAAAACCCTCCTCTGATCTTGTACATGCCAATATGAAACCCTCCTCTGGAATGCTAATGTATGTTGTCTTGATAATGTGGTTTTTATTTATATTAGTGTAGGCAATTATAAATGTATGTGGGAAAACTGGTTACATTCTGCAATTACACAACCGTTTTAATAATCCGTTTGCTGACACGTATTTAATTTTCTTAGTTCACATTCAACAAGAAGGAGACATGTAAACCTGTTTGTACAAAGACATATGATACCAGAAAGCCAGAAGATAAGCAGAAATTAGACTTTTTGAAAAAAAGTATGCTACTGAATTATCAACATCATTGGTAAGTTGATATCGATTCATAAATGGGTTAGTCTGTGTAGGTGATAATTAATTTAGTTTATTGCTTTATATTTGCATATTAATGCAGATTCAGCAGTAGGTGTTTGCACTTAACCTGTTACCCTTCTGTTTTTGCCAAAGTTATTTTGTTTGTTTCCTTTATATCAGTTTCTTTTTTGCTTGAAGAGAGCAAGCAGCAGGAAAGAGTGCTTATCTCATGGAAACAAATGTGTTCCCAAACGGACTGTGTGATTTTTGTGCTGCCTGTCTGCTTACTGTAAAATACTGCTATTTCTTTGTACCTGTAGATGCAGAAGTTAATCCTGCCTGAGTTTGAGAAAATTCTTGAGAGGCCTGCATTCTCTTACTATGTTGCCCTTGTTCTCCTTGAGAGCTTTGCACTTTCCTTGGAGTGTTGTGTCGAGGAGATGGGATTAACAGTTCTGAGGAAGTTTCTTAGGCAAAGTGTGTCTTTCTTATAGGACATGCAAATGAATGGTGGCCAGTTAAGATGATCTGATAAAATCGAGGGACACACAAACACTTGGTCCTTTTCTATTCCCTCAGTCCCTCTGTAACGAATGTTTTTATACCATCTGAGTTACCTTGGAACACGCTGGGGCTCTGTTCCTGCTTGGATGTTGAGGTTCTTTTCTAATGGATGTTAAGGGGTGGGGCAGGGCATTCATGGTGTATGATGAATCTGGTGCTCTTTTCCAGTTAGGATTTACCTGTGCTCTGCACTGGTATCCAGGAGCTGGGAAACATTCATCTGCAGCTTCTGTCTTGATGTTAGGAACATCCATCCATGCTATCTGTATTTGTATAGTGGTGTTCTGTGCTAAGAGCAGCATTTGGGTACCAGCGTAGAGGGAACAACTTAAGCATTAAATTGTCAGAGTTGTTAACTTTGTCATGTCTTTGGAAATAACACATGAACGTACCTAATATTGCCCAGACATTAGATGAAAACATTCTGGCTATATTAGTAAAAATGTGGGTGAGATGTGAGACACATCATTAAATGTGTCTCTAATTGCACATTCAGTTTCTTCATGTTTAATACAGCCCCCACACTGGCTAGGCAGTCAGTGCTTTTCCTGCTGTTATTGGAAGCTGAGGTGGGCATGTTGAGGGGTAGATGATGGCTCACTGAATTAAATCTTTTTGGAAACTTCTTGAAAATTACCGAAGTTGGAAGTTGATAGATTAGGTGAGAGTGGTTTGCAGATAATAGCAGTGTGTTTACGTGAGTGAACCAGGGAGTAAATAAAAGCTCTGAAAGGTGCAGCTACTTCTGCGTTGATTTGGAGTGTATATGTCTACTGCTGAAATCAGTGAAGCTTCAAAGATGTTTCATTTGGTTATATTCTTTTTAAATATTGCATGTGCTTATAATATTTGCATCACTTTGAATGTCACTGATGTATGTTGGTGTGGCCTAAGGCTTAACCTTTAAAGTTTGTGTATGTTGTAGTGTATAAACGAAAATTCATGTAAACGAAATATTTCCCAGGGCTGTGACCCTTTCACTCTTTGAAACTTTTTTTTTTTTTTTTTTTACAAAACTGTAAAAGCTAATCACACACAAAATTATTTTAGAATGATTTCTTCCCCCGCTGGTTACATTGGTTTACAAATATACATAGTGGTACGGGCTAAAAAGTCTATGTAAACACGCTAGCTGATTTGATTCAAACAAGATGTAGTTCCATTTTTAGTGGGAAAACTTCCCTTTAAATTTAGAGTACTCCGTGTTCTTAGATTCTTGGTTCTTTTGATTGCAAAAAAATAAAAGGAAGAAGTGCTAGGTCTCTGCCCTAGAACTTCAGAACCAGTGGCGTGAAGAATCCCTGTTTATGTCTGTTATGGTAATGATATTCCCCCCCTCAACCACAGCTCTGCAAAGTGGAAGTGGCTGGATTTTGTGATGAATGGTGGCACAGTCCAGGAGTGTGGTATAAGGTTATGATGTACGGGGATTGGCAAGGTAGCATAAGTGAGGATTTAGTAGAGGTTTTATTACTGGGCTTCCATGTGTCATAAAATTCCTGGGGAACACAGATGGTGCAAAGTACTTCTAAGGTTTTAAAGGCCACTTAATAAGATTAGTAATTGACATGCTGAATTGGACTCAACGGCTCGAGTGATATCTTGGCTGACAGTGTTCATCACCAGATGTTCTTGAGAGACGTGTAAGAACTGTTGTAGAGCATATTTGCTCCTCGTGTATAATCTCTTCACGTCATTCTGAATTTGAAGATTAACTGTGAAAAATGATTTGCTTCTTAAATTATCAATTTGTTCCAGCACTGCAGCTTGAAGGCAGCTTAGTATGTCATTGCAGAAGATGCAAGGGAAAACCTTTATCCCAACCAAAGTTGTTTGCAATAGGTTAATGCTTTACCTGGTTTTTGATTTATGAAATGAAGGTGCTAGCCAAACCAAGAACCACCTCTGGCATACACTGTGGAAGTAAGAGTCCAAATAAGAACCAAATGTAGTGAATCTGCATCTGGAATAGCTCCTCATCAGCATCTTTATTGTGCCCCGTAGTAGTATGGTAAAATCAGATTTGGTTGTTGCTGTTTACAGCTCTGCGAGAGACTGGAATCTGAGAACCTTCAAATTGTGTTTTTGGAAGGACTTTTCTTAACTTTTTTCCATTGGGTCAATATGAGTCAGTATTACTATTTATTTCTGAATGTTAGCTAATGGTAGAGATGATGCAGGCTTCTTTATGTTAAGTAGTTCCTGAAGGAGGTCTTTGTTGCCTGAAGTAATAATTCTGTAGTTATTAGGTATTAAGAAGTACCTATGAGGCCTTCTCAGGTATTTGTTAACATAGGTAGCCTCATGGTTGTAATGGTGAGATACTTAATTGTAAAGAATAGCAGCTTGATAGAGTTTACAAAAACTTGTAGTGTTAAGTTTCAGTGGGATGTCGTTTTTTGGTTTAGCAATGCACAAAAAGCCGTTGTCCCATGCCTTCATGTGCATCATTTGCTCATAGGCCTGTAAAAACATATCTTGGAGCAATTAATGATGCTCTAAGGGCAGCTGTTGAATTTTAAGTCTCTCATTTTCTTTTTGGGTTTATCTTTCAGCTAGTTAAAACACTTCATAACAAACACATTTTTACTATTTTATTTTCTACGAAGGGAGATGTAAGCGTGATGAGTGTCTTTCTCTGTTTAGAAGAATTCTTTGCTTTTATATATTTGTACTATTCGTAGCATGTTGGATTCTATTTGTATCTTACTGCCTCATAATTTATTGTGTAATGGTCCCATGCAACATCCTTGTCTCTAAATTGGAGAGACGTGGATTTGATGGATGGACTGTTCAGTGGATAAGGAGCACTGCATTCAGCTCTGGGGCCACCACCATAAGAAGGGCATGGACCTATTAAAACAAGCCCAGAGAAGGGAGACAAGGACGATCAGAGGGCTGGAGCACCTCTTCTACGAAGGTGTCCCAGCCCATGGCAGGGGGGTTGGAACTAGGAGATCTTTAAGGCTTCTTTCAACCCAAACTATTCTATGAATTTCTGCAAGTCCTCATGGAGGTTTGGAGTTCTATTGAAACTGCGCTTTCCATTTCAAGCTTTCCATTGAAACTACACTGTAAACCTACTGGGCTCAGGACTTTTAGATAATGTGAATGTGAATCTTAAGAGGTAATGATAAATGCAGCAGATAAACAGTGCACCACACAGTGGTGTGGTGGCTTACAATTCTTTGCTTGTGTAAACCATCTAGTTTAAATATTACATGCTCTCAGGGAACAGCAATTGAGGTCAGTGGTCAGAAATTCATATATAACAGAACCCCAAAACTTATACTTTAATGCAAAATAAAACTTTAAACAGTCTAATAAAAATGTGTTTTGTAATTGAAGAGTAATGATAAAGATGGAGAATTAATAGTGAGCACATCTTGCGTGTGTGTTCTGTCTTGAAGAAACTTGATGATTCCAGATTCTGTGGCTTAAAATCAGGAAGAAATGTTAATCTTATCATTAGTCTTCCAATAATGAATATTGCAAAGTTAGATGAATCTGGTTTTATTTGCATTACGCTGTGCATGTTAAAAGATTGTGAAATGTCACTGTATAATTACCAGGATTGTGGACAACATGCCTGTGACCTGGTGCTATGATGTTGAAGATGGCCAGCGGTTCTGCAATCCTGGTTTTCCCATTGGCTGTTACATTACAGAGGATGGCCGTCCAAAAGATGCCTGTGTTATTAACGTATGTTTAGGAGTTTGTTTTTTCAGTATCCTCTCTTTGCTAATTTAAAAACTTGCATTTCTTCTCTGTCCTATTTCTATGGTGAGTGGAAATTAATACTTCTTGAAGGAGCGTTTTCCCCAAAAACACGTGGGCTAATAAAAGAAGGCAGAATGCAAGAATCGTGAGTGAATTAAGCCTCTCTTGGGAGAGACAGATCTTTTGGATTAACTGGTAGAGGTTCAGCTAAATGCTGAATGTAAGCATTATGGAAATAAGAATGCTTTAGGAAATCTAGGCTGTCTTCAGATTACCCCAGACCTCTTCCATGGAGAGGTAACTGAGAACCTGAAACAGGGTTTTTGGTTTTATTTGCCACTTCGTGGAACTTACCAAAGATCTTACCAAAGATGAGAGTTCCTGGCAGTTTCTATTTTTGTTTCCTTTCCTGCTTAATGAATTGTTTTCAAATACTCTCTATAAATATATTTCTTGAAACACAATTATGATCTAAAAAGTAGTCTGTCAATATTTTTTCACCTTCTTTAAACATTTGTTTTTAGTAAAAAGGAAAATAGTCTCTGAAGGAGGGAGTAATTGAAGGACTGTAGAAGAACACTACCTGTAAAACCAGCCTTATAGTTAGGGCCTTTTGTGGAAAGGGGTGGGGACAGAACCTTAGAGAAGTGCTAGCTGAGCTTCAGTAGATGTAAGGCTTCTGACTTAACAGCTTGTTTAACGGGCTAGTTTTCAAACTGATATGTCCCATCACCTGAAATGTCTATTCAGAGCTTTTTGGCTGCAGCTTGCGGTGCATCTTTGCATGTTTTTCAAACATGGAAACGGTTCTGTCACAGACAGCAATTATTTGCGTTGTTTGTCTTAGAAGGTTTGGGTTAATCTATGGAAAATGCACGCTGTTTTAAAATAGCTGTTTGTTTATGAAACACTTCTGGTTATGAAAGTTGTTGCACAGCTCTCTATTCAGTTTGCTACTTCAGTTGAATAAAATGTAACATCCTCTGTTCCTCAGTCATCCAAAGTGAAGTTCTATTCTTAAAATGCAGTTCTTAGCATTATTTTTGTCTGTTTTCCCAGAATTGTGCAGTCATCTTGTAAAACAATTTCATAACAAGAAATCTGAATGCAATCTAAAACTTCTTTTTGTAAGTTTCTGCTTAAAGCTTTCATATTTCTTATTGATGTTTTTAATCATTCCAGTCAGAATTTCATGAAAAAGATACCTTTTATATCTTCAATCATGTTGACATAAAAATATATTACCACGTTGTGGAAAATGAAGCTCTGGGAGCAAGACTTGTTGCTGCTAAACTTGAACCAAAAAGGTTAGTATACAGAACTAAGCTGTCCTCAAACAGTGGTCTGTCCCAAGATACTTGCTTTGTTTTGGAGTTGTGTTGCTAGTCAGAAATGCTTTCAGGTATGTGATGTGTGGGTTAGCTTTCCTGTTGATTGATGAAGTCTAATGTCATCTTGTTCTGAGTTCCATAGGTCTTTGTGCACAATTTCCTATTTGGATGGAAAAAGATAAAATGAAAGCTGGAAATAGTGTGCGTTAAGTAAAGCAGCCCTCCCTTCCCTGCTGGAGAACGTTCTGTCTTGTGACAGAATAAGCCTTCAGTGCCTGAGGCAGGAGTAATTAGAGTGCAACATTTGATGTCCTCAGCAGTTGGGATTTGAATGCGATGTTTTCTCAAGTATACTAGTCAGTTGTTCTCGTGTCTATGTGGCCTTTCCACAACTGATGTCTGTTTTTATTATTTCTTACCATCTTGTCATCTTGATATAACCGAGCTTGTTGCAGTTGCTGGTCCAGCTTCATGACCAAAGTACTTTTTTTTTTTCCTGATACCTAGCTATTTGGCAGAAGTTAGTAATTCTGTTGTAACTTTTTGTGTTTTGGAGGTTCTTGGCAGTATTCACACTTCCTTAACTGATGGTATCCTGTTTTAGAGAGTGTATTATTCTATAGTTACCTTTTCAGAAGAGGCAATGTTTGTTTTAAAAAGTTCAGATGTCAGAACATTCTCTGCTTGTGACGCATTCCTTATGAACTGACAGTTACGAGGCATTAATATACAATATATATCATTGTTCTTATGCTAAGTAAGAGAAAAGTTGTGTATGAAACCGATACTTGTGTAAGATGAATGAATGCTGTCTTTAATAGTGTTGTTAGTGAAGCAGCGCTCTTCCTGTGTTTTTTCTTCCCACAGTTACAAGCATACTCATCCAGACAACCCTGACTGTTCAGGAGTTCCTATGGATATAAGTAATAAGGCACATGGAGAAGTCCAAATTGCTTACACGTACTCAGTTTCTTTTCAAGTGAGTGATAAATTTTTTTGTGGTAGTTACCTATTAAGATAAACTTGTATTAATAATAAGAGTTTTAAAGCCGGACAGCTAAAATTATTTCAGAATAGTAAACTTGTATTTTAGAATCTGTTTGAACTAGAATATTGGTAATGTCTTGACACCTAAGCATATGTCTTACAATTTTCAATACTTCCTCACAAACCCCATAAAAGATACATGTGGTTTTGAAAAGAATCACTCTTTCCATGTCTGTCTATGTTGTCTGGAAAAAAAATGTACTGGAAAGTGCTTTTACTCTTGTATGTTATAAAATATTGAAATAACATCCTGTCAGAAAAACAGCTGGCCATCTTTATTCGTTGACACTGCTGTTTATGGTTTATTTAATAGTAATTTTCAGGTTGATTGGCACTATTTTTTTCATCTTTACTCTGGGGAAAAAAATAAAATAAAGAATACTTTGAAGTATTCTGATCACTGCAACATTTTTTTTTAATTGATCATGATATTTAAGGTTGTTTTGTATGATAATCAACTTTAAATTTTAGTTGGATGCTGGTTGGGTCTAAAACTGATGTGCTTTTTCTTTAAGGAAGAAAAAAATATAAGGTGGGCATCAAGATGGGATTATATTTTGGAATCCATGCCTCACACTCACATCCAGTGGTTTAGGTGAGAAGAAAGTCTGTCTTCAGTTGTACTGTAATGAACTGTTTTTACTTTGCAATTTGAATAATGACTTACTGTTATTTTTCAACCAATGCAGCATTATGAATTCCTTGGTGATTGTCCTTTTTCTGTCTGGAATGGTAGCTATGATTATGCTGAGGACACTGCATAAAGACATTGCAAGATACAATCAGATGGATTCCACTGTAAGTCTGAAATGTGCATCCTAAAATGCATTTGGAATATGTGTTGTTTTCAGCTGAAAGTATTTTTGTAACTATTTTTTGTAGCTATTTTGTAACAATCTAGCATCTTAAAATAGGTGTGTTTCCTTAACAGGAGGATGCTCAGGAAGAATTTGGCTGGAAGCTTGTTCATGGTGACATTTTCAGGCCCCCAAGAAAAGGAATGCTGTTATCTGTTTTTCTTGGCTCTGGCACACAGATCTTAATAATGACTTTTGTTACACTGTGTAAGTAATAAAGTTGGGGGGAATTAACTTAGTAGAGAGCTTTTCACTGCTGGTTACATGTTACTATTAAAATAACAGTATGGTTTTGTCTAGAAATCTTAAAAGTCAAAGATTAAAAATTGCCGAGCTGATAGTGGTTATACAACTTTTTATCTTAAAGTCCATGTACACTGAGTGTTACACTGGCTTTAAGTCAAATGTGTAACTAATTTCTGAAATTGTGCATCTCTGCTTTGTAGTTTTTGCTTGCCTGGGATTTTTGTCACCTGCTAACCGGGGAGCTCTTATGACCTGTGCTGTAGTTTTGTGGGTGCTGCTTGGAACTCCAGCAGGTTATGTTGCTGCCAGATTCTACAAATGTAAGTAAAGTTATTTAAAATGACAGAGCTGAAGTTCATTAAAGTAAATTATCATTTAAAAGTAAATTATTATTATTCATTTAAAGTAAATTATCAGAACTGATTTTTTTGCTTGTTTTATGCTATGGTTTGTAATTTCCCTCAGGTGAGATGGAGAAATGTACTTTTAACAGGAAATACATACAGAATATTGACATAGTTAAAACAATCTTGATGTGATGCCTAGAGACCTTGAATTGCTCGTGCTGCTATGTATTTATGGAATTGGGAACAAATTCAATTTTACTAATACTAATTACTGCTGATAGTTTAGTTTTCCTTTGAATGGGGACCCTTAACTTGCTTTTGGCTTTAGCTGTTGATGTTGTTTGGTAACTTTTTTTTCCAAATGGTGAACCTCTGTTCTTGCATGCCTTAAATTTTGTGCCACCTCTGTTTAGTTAGTGCCATTCGTGGGAGAAGGGTGCTTATCGGTCTGGAGGTGGGGATGAATTATTAGGGATTCTGTAGCTGTGGCAACCCAGTGGTGTAGGGCACCTGACAGTAGGTGGTTGATACTGTTTTCCTCAATTCATTTCAGCTAGCTATCATTTCAAGGCCTGCCCACTAACCTTAAATAGATTGTTCCTGTACCCGCTGGTTTATTTTAGGGTTTACATGCCATTCTGTATCTTGTCTTAATTACCTTACTCAAAGTACAAGACTGTTCATGACTGAGCAAGCTGGAACTTCTGGACTATTTTAGTACTGAACATATAGTGCTAGAGAGAATTTATATCTGAATTTGAATCTGGCAGCAGGCATTGGAGCTTTTTACTTTCTTCTGGTGCTTTTACAATTCTCATGTGTGAACAACCACTGAGGAAAGGGTTTTCATTTTTGTAGGGAACTTTTTCAACAATGGTAGGGATGTAGTAATGAACTTCTCTTCAAGCCAATTAGACTTAACTGGGAGGAGACTTTAAGACCAAAAACATCGTTGAAAGTAGTGGTATTCTTTATATCATGCTGGGTATTTTGTATTTTGAAGGATATTTTGAAGTTTGTTAATGGTGAACTGAGTCCTGTTCCTTTTAGAGGATGTTGTTAACAATAGCTCTATCTCCTATTATATTTAGTGTGAGGTTAGGTGAAGCTTGACTATTTAGTTTAGCTACTAAGACATTAAGTGACTACTCCAGACATGCTCTTGTTGCAACAGATGGTGGCCTGTACAGAGGGCCGTACTCTATGGCCCTGTATAGAGCATATCAACACAAATGTTTTTCCTTACAGTATGTAAATAAAGTGCTGAAAGACATGTAAAGCAAAAATGCAGCTGAAATAGATATCTGGTTTTAAACTTTTTTTCAACGTTGCATTTAAAAAGTGGAGCCTGAGCTGAAAATAACTGGTTAATATTAATTACCAGTGCCGTGTTCTACCAAGATTTTAGGAAGGAATAGAAACTTAATTAAAATCATTCTAGCTATAATCATTTCTGATTCCTGAAATAAAAAAATGTGTCATTGTGGCACTGCTCAGATGAAATTGTCAGCTTCACTGAATTCCAGTGGGATGTTTTCATGTTAAAGTACTCTGACTAGAATTTTTATCAGTGTACTACAAGCTCATAAGGATTTTTAATAAAGCTGTCCTTGGTCTTCTGGTATCACCATTGCTTAATGCTGTTAAGACTTAAGAGAACATCACTGCTTCCTGTAAGCATTAGTCCTAACTTTCTTTTAAGATTCTTAGATGAGAATTATTTCAAGAAAAAAAAAAGCTTGCTTTTCACTTTTTTTCTAATAAAACCTGCAGTCAAATGCTAGAAAACTTAAGCCTGAAATGATTAAGAACATTTTTTTTTTAAAGACTTAAACATACTGCAAATCTGTTTCTTCCTTTTATGATAAAGTGCTCAGAGGCCCAGTTTATTTACTTGGATACTTCTCCTGTCATTGGTCTGAGTGTTTTCTTTGCTTTGAAGCTCTGTGATTAAGAAGTAAGATGAGGGAATTTAGTTTTATTATTAGTAAAGATTTAGTTTAGTATTTGAAATTTGAGCATGATAGCACATTATTTGAGAACTTGTAAGTTAAATAACATCTAAATGGACTGGAAAATTAATAGTTGTGAGCTTAATGCATGTTTTGATGACTGTCAAATGTTTTAATACAGCATTTGGAGGTGAGAAATGGAAAACAAATGTCCTGCTGACATCATTCCTTTGTCCTGGGTAAGTTGAGAATATAACCACGATTAAAAGAATTAAATTGCTTCTGTGACATGCATAACTAATTTTCAAGCTTCAGCTGTAGAAGCAAATCTTATTATGTTGTCCTTTTGTTCCAGAAGGTTTTAACAATATCAAGGCACATTTGACAAAGATGACTGTATTAATGGCATATCATACTTAATTTTTTTTAACGTCAGCTTTTTATTTACTCTCACCATGTGAAAAGGTTGATTTTAAAAAAGAGCAATGTAATACTACTAAGTTTTAGACAGGCATTGTTATCTTTTACTCTTTAGGCTATCTTCCTGACCACACTGTAGTTGGTCTTACACGGTGTCATATACAGTATAACCACTGTGTTAAATTTTTCTACTTAAGCACAGCAAGCAGTCTTACCCTGAAGTGTAGTTAAGACAAGCATATATTTGAAACTGCTTAGTTGGAACGTCAGCTCCTGCTGGAGTTCAGTCCCTCTAGATCATGAAAGAATTGCTAGCTTGACCTCTTCATTTTGTTTCTTTTTGTCTCCTAGTTTTAAGAGATTTACACTAAAATCGTAATGCGGTGCTATTGTTTTGCTAATGTCTGCAAATATTAAGGAGTATTTCTGTGCCTTAAGTGTGTTCTGTATTTTTCAGAATTGTATTTGCAGATTTCTTTATCATGAACCTCATTCTCTGGGGAGAAGGCTCTTCAGCAGCTATTCCGTTTGGTACTCTGGTTGCTATTCTGGCGCTCTGGTTTTGCATATCTGTACCATTGACATTTATTGGTGCCTATTTTGGCTTTAAGAAAAATGTAAGTGTTTTTCTTGATATACATATAGCCTATACAGTGACTTTTTTTTTTTAATATAACTAAGGTAGAACCTAAGCTAGTTGGTATTGTTAGCTCCAGTTCTGGTCCATTGCTTTAGAACTGTGTTACGTACTTAATCTGATTCCAAGACTTTGATATTCAGCTGGTGAGTGTTTCTCTGCAGTGATTAGTGATTACAGTGATCATTGTAACTGATCGTGAACAACTGCTCCAGATAAAACAATCTGTGCATTCTTGATTTTAATTAGTATTTCTTTCATTACCAGAAAATTTTGTTGACCCAGCCAAGCATAAAGAAAAGCAACTTGTGTGGGTTTGGTTTTTTCCCCTGTGTTTTTTTTATTCCTGTCCCCAGTCAACGCTGAGACTTCAGAAGGATATTTTCTGATCAAGTTGCTAGACTTGTGAAATTCTGTTCATCTAAGTGTTCTGTAAATGATTATCGCTTCTTGGCAGACACTAACTGAATTAATTTGGATTTCCTCCTAAACTGAATAATTCTCTTACTTAGATGAGGGTACTTTAAACGTTGAAATGGGTGGTTCCCTTTTTGCTTAAAAAGTGGCTTGCTGTGCCACACAAACGTATAGATCTTAAAGTTCAGCCATGTCTGTGGGGTTTTTTCCTATGCAGGAAGCCAGAATTCTATCTCTCTGTAGTTCTCAGAGAACTACAGTCGTTCTTCAGAGAATGTTTAAATATGCTAGGAGGCTTTTTAAGTCAGTTATAGTTAGCCCATTTTTCTTAACCACAATCAGTGTTGTTTTTCCCCTGATAACCAGGTTAAAATTCCAGAGAAAAACAAACAACTGCATTGTACAGAGACAGTTCCTTGAACAAAGGAGGATTTGATGAGCTGTAAGGCAATGTGAAATGGGTCACAAGTCTGTTAAAATAAAAACAAGAAAGCAAGTACTGAGCTAAAATTATTGATGCTTTTGATGGTACTCTTTAAGAAACGGGAAAGATGGCAAAATATGCATCTGTCTGCCTTCAGGTTTTTTTCTTCCTGCCATGTTGACTTATGCGAGTAGCTTAAATTAAGACTTAATTACCAGATTGAATTCTCTCACCTTGTAAGTTTACCCTAATGTGATTCTTGGAGCAAATCCTGAATAGCATCATACAGAGATTTTCAAAAGGAGAAACCAGGAGTCGGCACTGCCACTGCTCCCAAGTTGAAAAGTGAGAAATGATCTCCAGCTAAGTCACAGGTCACAGAAAATCATAAAAAGGGAAGTCCAAAACATCTGTTGCAGTGTTCTCTGTAAGAAGCCTTTTAGCTGTTTTGCCTTGCAAATGTTGTTTGCTAGACTGGTAGAAAATGCAAACGTAGTGGTAGATGGGGCTGTGCATACTCAAAATAAAAAAACTTCCGCCAGCACTCATTTCAGAAGAAAGCAAAAAGGTGGTGCTGTGGTTTGACTTGTTACTTATTCAGCAATCTCGTATTTTCATTTGAAGGCTATTGAACACCCCGTTCGCACAAATCAAATTCCTCGTCAGATTCCTGAGCAGTCATTCTATACAAAACCATTACCTGGAATTATCATGGGAGGAATTCTGCCTTTTGGGTGTATCTTTATACAGCTGTTCTTCATTCTGAACAGTATTTGGTAAGTTAACTACAACCTATGTGAACCTTCTCAGTCATCAAAGGTTGTAATTTCTCTGTGAAAGCTTCTTTTCTTTAAGAGGTGTTGACTGATTTTTGAGGCATACAGACTTACCAGAATACTGTTTCAATAAAAATTAAATGTTAACTTATTTTTAGCACGTTGTGGTTTAGAAGATGTTCAGTGCCTGTGTTTGTTGAGGGGTGTAGAGAAGGGGCTGTGATATTCTTAGCAGCTTACAGCTGACCTACAGTATTCAGACAGCTAGGTTTGTTTCTCATGTTTTTCCCCTGGCTTGATGTGAAAGAGGCTTGAAGCTGATGTATGGCATATAACTAGAAAGGAGTAAGCATATTAAAATTGACTTGAGGGTGTGGGGTGCTTTTTTATTGTTGTTGTGTAGAAAATGTCACAAAACTCGAAAGACATCAGTGAGTAAATCTATTAAATGTTAAAAATAAAGCACCAAGAACTAGTCCAGGGTAAGTGAATTTTGCAGTGAGCTTATAGCTGTGAGGAGTTTATCTTCCTTCTGGCACAATTTAGTTATTGCGTATCTTTAAACTGTTTCTGAACCTTGAACAGGTGCCTGTACCCAGCACACACAGCTAAAGCATTCGACATTTCTTGTTACTTTGCAGCTCTGCCCCTTTGATTGAAATGTGAGGTGAAATCCAAGTTCCGCTGAAGTCAGCGGAAACGGTCAAGTTGGCTTCATTGGAATTGTAATTTCACTCATTACACCCAGTGAGTTCTTTCCCTAAAATCCCGAACACCAGGAGGATGCTTTGGGCTGGCTTTCTCACTGTTTTCAGGCTGAGCTGATAGCTCTTGTTCTTCAGCTAGAAAGCAAGTCAGTTGTGTAGGGCCACACAACTAAATACCTTGATAAGAAAGGGAAAATGTGAGATGAAGGTGATATTACTGCATAGGAAGAAATAATATTAGCACGGAGTTGATCACAAACTTTTATTGTTTTTGAAAACTCTTTTATAGGTCTCACCAGATGTATTACATGTTTGGCTTCCTGTTTCTGGTATTCATTATTTTGGTTATTACATGTTCTGAGGCCACAATATTGCTCTGTTACTTCCATCTATGTGCAGAGGTAAGAAGTATTTGTCAGTATTCATACTTAATACTGCCTTAAAGATGCTGCAAAAAATTGAAGGTTTTTGTAATCTGGAAATAAGTATTACAGAATTCAGCACAAATACAGTTACTAAATGTCCTTAAACCACAACTTCAGAAAGTGAAGCAAGCTACTTTGGGGAAAGCTTGAAAATAAATAAATAGAACCCTGCACTGAGTACCATTAAGTCAGATATATCATCAGAGTCTAACTTCCTGTACTCTGAAGATCCATCCATCCATCCATTAACTTTCCTCAATCAAAGTTTTTGCATGTGCTTGTAGTTAAAGCAGTGTTGATTTTAAATGTAGTATTTTCTGTAGATTAAAAACTGCTCGCTTTTGGATAAAGTGATAATGGAATCAAGTTCACTTGTAGCTTTGCATTCAGTAACAGGGTCAGTGTACTAGAGGCATATGAAATATTACTCACTTTTTTTTTCTCCCCACCACTTCTAGGACTATCACTGGCAGTGGCGTTCATTTCTCACGAGTGGTTTCACTGCAGTTTACTTCCTAATATATGCAATACATTATTTTTTCTCAAAACTGCAAATCACAGGAACAGCTAGCACCATTTTGTATTTTGGTTATACCATGATTATGGTTTTGATCTTCTTCCTCTTCACAGGTAAGTATATTGAACCTCGACTTTAAATGTTGAGTCTGCCTTTAGCGTTGTGTAGGAGAAGCCTTAGCGAAACTTATCTTGATACAGAATCAAATTTATATATAGTCTTTGATTTTTGTCGAGCTAGTTTTGTTTCATTCTCCAACTCTGTCATCACAAATTCTAATGAAAGATGAAATAAGATTGAGGCAAAGCTGGACTGCTAAGTTGAGGTGTGGCCTACATTTAGATTTTGAACTATGAAAGCTTTAAAGTTGATAGACTATTTCTCCAGTTTTCATTTCTATGTTAGTTGTGTGATTAAACTTCGACTTTTTAAAGTCTTTGGAGAAGCACTTCAAATACATCAGGCTTGAAGCTGCAGTGGCACTTAAGTGAGAAATGCAGCTTTTGTGGAGTAGGAGGAAGAAAGAAAGAAAGAGGAATAAAGATTGTTTTTTTTTTTTTCTATTTGCTCTCTTCTGCAACTTTTTACCTTTTTTCCCCTGTTGCATTTAAGAAATGGCAGTGGAAGGAGATCTCAACCATTTTTTTGATACAGTTTTATTAGAACCCTGTCTTTACTGTACATTTCTGGAAAAGCACCTTTCTGAAGTGTTGTGCTTCAATTTCCTCTTCAGTATGCCAGCTGGGGTGACAAAATCTTCCCTTTGTCATCTTCAGTCCTAAAAGGGAATCTTTAGTCTTGCATCCTCCAACCCCAAGCGAGGGGTTGGAGGATGCAAGAAGTCTCCTTCTGAGGTCATGCAAAAATGTAGCACCTGCCAATTCCTGAAAGTACTTCAAAATACTAAATGCTGTTCCAGCATACCCTACAGAACAATATTTTTGAGATTTTTGAACTGAGCTATGCTTTAAGTGATTTCAAGCTCCACATTTATGAAGAAATCTAATGATTCCAAAGGCTTTGATATGGATTTATATATATAGCTATAAAGGCTGTGTTTTGATGCCTCTTGGAACACAATTGGCTTTCCTTCAGAGCTTTTAATGCAGATCTCATTCTAATTGTAAGTAGACTGTTCAGTTCCACATAGCACAGAGGAGAAGGAAAAAGAAGTCTAGTAGGAAAAGAGAACTGGCACTTGTGAATAATGCTAATTTTATGAGTAACCAAATAAGAATCTTAGAGACCTTGCTACTTCAACTTAGGAAATACTGAAGCAGTTTCTAGTCAACTGAACGTAGATGATGAAAAGGAATATATTAAGTGTTTCTTGGGTAATTGCTTGTTAAAAAGTAGGGAATGCAATATTATAAAACCCAGAACCTTTTTGAACAGCTGTGTTCCAAATGTGGTTTTACATCCATGCGTCTTCTTAAAAAGCTAGACTAACATATTTTGGCCTTGCTTGCATAAGTTTTGCAAATTGCACATCATCTCTAGTTTTGTTTTGTGTGTTGATTAGCAAGCTATTTTGATCACAGAGATCAGAGATTCTGCCTTCCTTTCTCACTCTGATTTCTTGCTCTGACTTTCTCTTAACCTTTATTTCTGACCTGGGTTTTCTAAAAGTCTTATCGGTGTTTAAAATTTAAGACTGTATGGTCGTTCAATTAGGAACAAATGTGTACTGCTGTATGCTGATGCTCCTGGCCCGCATCAGAAATGGAGTGGCCACCAGGACTAGAGAAATGATTGCCCCTTGTATGCAGTACTGGTGAGGCTGCACCTCAACTATTGTGGAAGTGGCAGCCCAGGGATTTGGTAGAGTCCCCATCCCTGGACGTATTTAAGAGGTGTGTGGATGTGACACCAAGGGATGTGGCTCAGCGCTGGGACTCAGCAGCTCAGGTTGATGGCTGAACCTGACGATCTGGAAGGTTTTTTCTGACCTAAATGATTTTATGATTCTATGTAGATGATTTTAAATGTGATGCAAACACAAAGGAGCATGAAAAAATAAGCAGGCTTTATATAAGAGTAAGATCAGTTAATTCCATTTCGCTAGCTTTTCTAGCAGATACTTGGTATATCTACCATAATAGTGAACAGCTCGGGCTGAAACCAGAATTGCATTTACCCTGAGTGCTTTGTTCAGTCTGTTCTACCTTGGATGCATGCAGTAATTGTGGAGTGCGTGCATACAAAATAGGGGAATTTCCTGTGCTGAGGCTTGGTTTAGGTTTAGTTGCTTTCCTGCACCTGTAATTTTTTCTACATGTGTAATTTCCATGTTTCACTGCACTTGTTCTGTCAAGCCAGTCATGTCGCATGACATCTTCTAGAGGCTTTAAGATGTGTCCAGTGTGCTCCCTTTTCCTTTGCTCACACATTCACTTTCAATTGACTCTCAACAATGGGCTGCGCAGTGCCTGCTGGTCAATTTGGGGAATCCTTTTCAGGATAGGCTCACAAGGATGCAAAGAAGAGGCGGTTTGCTCTCTGACCTCTTCAGATGATTCCTGTAGTAGCAATATGTATGTAATTGGGACAGTGGAGATGCAGGTCATGATTTCTAACTCAAGCTAAACTTCTATATTGTGTATGTTTAAGCTCTTAGAAATGTTCATTTTTGTATTGAAACTGGGGGAGAATATGCGAAGTTAACCATAGGGTTAGAATTTTGAAGCGTTGTATGCTTAATGATTTTTTTTATCAACCTCCCATGAGATTAAGAGCAGATTACCCCATAATTTGAGGGAACGGCCCTATTTCTTAACATTTAAAATATTTTTGTCCATTTAGCGTGGCATGTTAATTGCGTTTAAAGGTGGATATTTTCAGTTCTCTGAGATTCATTGATATGCCTTGAGATAAGGTTTTATAGCAAACGTTAGAGGCAGGTTAAAGGGGTAGGCAGTTCTCTCAGATTCTTAAACGAAAGGCCATACTAGCAATTTAGCAAAAACTGCTCCTAAAGGCAACTGACTTCCTGTGTCAGGATGATAAAGAAGCTAAAAAGAGAAAATCATAATTGTTGTATCAAATCTATTCTGCTGCTGCTTACTCATCTGTTAAAAATCGTCAGTATCAGGAAGGGTTTTGATGGTGCCCTGCTGCTATGTCAGTGTAACACATGCTTCAGGCACTTGCTTCCATCCTGCATTCCAGGTCATTGATCAGACTCAGCAGGCAAAATACCGGGAGCTACATGACAAATCTTTGATTCACAGCTGGGACCACAACTACGTATCATAGTAAATGAGTCAGTTAAACATCAGTAGTTTAGCGAGCGTGAAAGGAAAAAAAATCACCGTGATATCATTTGTGGTTCCTTACAAGCCTGTTTGCTGAATAAGTTAGTACACAACTTGGGTTGTGCCTCTTAGCAAATCTTAAATAGAGGTGATTTTTTGGAAGATGGCTTTATCTGATTTTTGCCTGACTACCTCTTGTAATCTCCAATGCTTTCTTCATGCCCTAGTTTTTGTGGGAAGTGAAGGTTGCTGTAACAGCTGTTCTGAGCTGCTTTTAAGTCCAGTATCATTCTGACTGAGGCTGCATTTTGAAGCAATACAGTTAGATGAACGAAGCCCAACTGCATTACTTATTTTGCATTCAGAAAAGTATTTTTGTTAAAAGCTTCTGTCGGTTGGAGCTTCAAAGGGAGTTTTCCTTCAGCTAAAATTATCAGGGAAATTCGTCAGTAAATTTCAGTTCAGGTTCGCTTATACATTAGGCAGTGAAAATGTATTTCACAAAGTGTTTAAGGTATGTAACATGTTTCCAATAGAAAGTACAACTTGCCTAGGAACTGCTCCATGTTCTGAAATTTTTATTAACTTAATTTATGCAGAAATAAATGTAGTGCTCTAATTCTCCAAGACCTTAAAATACACCTAAGATATGTGAACTTCTTTTGATGCTGTCAGTCTAGTTGGTTTATTAAACATAACAACGCTATTCCAACCAGCTAAGCAGATCAGGTAAAGTGTTTGTGAATAGTCACTGAAGAAGGGTGAAATGGAGCAATATGCAGAGGGTAGGACTAGGGAGTAACAAGAGCAACAACAAACAAATAGGTAGGAGGAGAAATGACACAACACAAAATCAACCTAAAATGAGTCTCTCAGATTATACATTTCTGATTGTGAAAATTAAATACTTCTGTTATAGTAGTCGATGCCTATGAAGACCAGGTTCTGTCTATCAAGTCCTGATTCATAAACTGTAGATAAAAAATCATCTGTTGTGTAAGGTTTCCTAAAATGTATCCTTGTTTTTTGTTTTTGTTTTCTAGGGACAATTGGATTCTTTGCCTGCTTTTGGTTTGTAACCAAAATCTACAGTGTGGTGAAAGTTGACTGAAGAAACCAATGTAAAGAATTAACACAGAAGAGGTTTAATCTTCATTAACGTAACTTAAAGACCTGGTCTAGTCGATGAACTTGAGCTTTATCAGAAGTATTGGCTTCCTATTCTTTTGAGAATGATACTGAATATGCAGCTACCCCCAAACACTTTTTTCCACTAACACGTTTGTATTGTGACTTAACAACCTGTTTTCATTCAGATCTTAATGAAGATCAGAGTTACAATATTTATGCATTTGTAAATACAACTATACTTCAAAAGAAATGTTAAATTCTAATGGCAGAGTAGAAGTGGCTGTATTACACAACTTAATGATACTTCTGATCAAAGTACAACTGTAAATAGGATTTTCTAGCTTGGTAGGTGGGATGAATTATTTTTCTTTGAGGGAAATGAGAACTTTTTATTATGCTAACTTTGAAGGATGACTCTTAAGAAGTGTTGCTTTTAGTTTGGATGTGATTTTTATTTTTTACTGGTATTATGTCCATAAATATCCTGATTTCTGTGACTTCATTAGTTTCAGTGTTCTTGGCCTTTTAAACTATGTGCCTCTGAGTCCTTGAATTTATAAATTCATAATCTAATAAATATTGTAAAAATGTCTTCAGTGGGTCATTACCTATTATAAATTCATAAAAAATCTGTAAATACAATTATATTGAAGAGGGATGCTTAAAGATTGCATAGAGTATTTTATGGCATTTTCTGCAGTTTTATGTATATTGACACACCTTTAGGTCTGCAAGACATGTTATTTGTGTTACGTGGCTAGAACGCTACAATGTGATTGTGGCACGTGAGAACGAACCCATACACACGCATTGCCAAAAACCTCTGCAGCATTAATTCGGTCCTTAACCCAGGTACTTCACCCAGTCCAGAGACTGCTGTGGAATCATCAATATGTTGAGAAGATCTTAATGCACGAGGCAGCATCCTCTGCTGGTCGTGCTTTCAAGGGGTCTTGATGATACATATTCTATATGGCAACTATTGCCGATTGTACTTGATGTAGGTTAAAAAAAATAAAAGCAAATTACTATTTTTGCCTTATATTAAGAGACTAATGTCAATTTCAGGTGACTATCATTAAACCTATATTTGCATTTTTTGAAAATGGAGTATTTTATTTGTACTTCGTTCAGTAGTTTAGATTCAAAACATAATTTGGCTTTTGGCATTTTTTCACAAGCCTCATACAATTCCATTTAAAATTAATCATCGTGTATCACCTGTCATTCATAAGGTTGCTTTCCTCATCCTTACTGGTTTGCTTTTCTAAAAGACCTTAACCTAATGATGATTGGATACTGAACCCAATAAAAATATCTTTGGTTAAGGTAACTTGTCATTATTAACCTCCTAGAAGTTGGCATGTAAGTACTTCAGGTAATGTTTCCTCAATTATTATGCTCCACAACCCCTCCTGGATGAACCACACTTCTCTCATGTTCTGCCCATCCCCGGCTGTGGACAGAACTCAGAATTGTTTTCATGCCCCTGCCTCCCTACACACACTCATTGCTCAAGAGTTTCAGTGTAGTTGTAAGAAAACAGGTTTTTGAGACTTCCAACTGCTGTTTAAGAGTCAGATCACTAGAAGTAAGATGTAGTCATTACGATACATAAATGGGTTTGAAACTGATTGGAATTTTTCCTTTTGTTTCCCTAAAAACTAGTTGACAAATCATGGCAGATTCTAAAGTATCTAATTTTTAGCTTTAAATGGACTGTGTTGTTTCATTATCTTCTCGAATGTAAACCTGCTGCAAACAAGTTTTTCCAAGTAGCCTTGCCTTTTCATCATTGTAGCTGGTGTGGGATTTGGAATGGTTGTTTTCAGTGTGCAGTAGTTGAGAAGGTCCAGGAAGGTTTAACAGAAGGGCCTTTCTAAAGTTGCCACCTCCCTTGAAATCCATCTGTGCCTCAGATTGTTACAAGTTCTTGTAGTATTCAGGCTTCTGGTGCATGTTATGGCACCAATATATTCTGCTGGGTACTGTATCTGTACCTTACGTCTCTTGGGAGGCCTGGGCTTTGTCTAAACATTGAAAAAATAATAGCCTCTTCCAAAACACTTCTCTATTATCCAACACTCTCTGAAAGTGCATTCATGGCACAGATATCTAAGAAAATGTGAATGAATAAGAAGATTAGGAGGTAGGAGCGAAGTGCTGAGCTGCATGAAGTCAGCAAATTTGGACAAAGAATAATGCTTCAGATCAGCATCAATTTTTTGGTGGTTGGTAAATTATTCAAAAGCTGGTTCTTCGGAGTTTGAACAAACTGGTCATCATTGCCAAATTCAGTCCTAAAGTGATTGTCCAAGTCTGGTCTTGAAATGGGCTAACCACAACTACTGGCTGAGTATGAGCTACTCACGGGCAACGTGCTAGCAGCCTTTGTGCCGTGTTCAGGTAAAAGGCAGTGAGGGGAAAGGCTGCGGCCACTGCTGCTGTCTCCTGTTTTCTTCTTCCTTTCTCCCACTTTGCAGCTTTGCTCAGGGTTGCTCCGAACCAGGCTTCCCCGTGCTTCATCTCTGTCCTTCCCATGAATGCAGAGCAGTGATTACCCTAATTAGCTCTTGCAAATAGCATGGTGCTTTTGTGTTTGAAAATAAAGCTGCCCAGAACGTGTGATGCAGATGTAGCGACCAGCACAGGGAGGAGGCATGTGGGCAGCATCGTGGGAGCTGTAGGTGCATTTCCATGTTCCTGTGGTGCCCCTTACTGCCCCTTTGGGACTTGGGAAGAGCAATGGTTTCGCACAGGTGTCCATTAATACTTGTGGATGGAGGAGAAAGTCTAGCCATGTGGGATTAGAGGCAGATGAGCTGTCTGGTTGTTGGATATTGAGGTAGAAGGGAGGCCCTGGAGCTTCTGTGTGCTTGAAAAATGCTGTCAGTGGGTACTGTAAGCCTGTCTGTAGGTGGTTCCTACATCTCCTTCAGGAAAAGTGAGTGTTGGAGAGATGTGAGAAGGCAGAACAGGATAAAATTCAGGCAGGTGTCTGAGGCTCAGAATTACGATCATCTGAATAACGTGTTAGAAGGCACAGGAGACGCAAGTCAACTTCTCTCTGTCAGAACTGATGGGATACAAAGCAAATGTGGGTGAGAAACACCAGTTTACTAACATTATAAGGGCAAAAATGCCAATCTATAAATTAAGAAAAATGGGCTATGTAGCTACATAAAGCCGACTCCAGAAATACTCTTCTCCAATTACCTTGTGTGTTGTCTTCAGGTACATGTGTGTACCCGGGTGCACGACACTTTGGTTTTCAGGCACTGAAAGCATAAATCTGCAGGGTCTACAGGAAAACGTAATTTATCGGTTGATTATCCCATAGCTGCCACCACGGGTTTTCCTTCCCGTTATCTGAAACATCTGGAGCTTGCTGTTGGCGCGATTGGAGTCGTGAACTGCCCTTAAATCAAACGTGCCAGGGGATTACGAATGTGCCCCGTCGTGTTTGGATGACAGCACGTTCCTGCAGCTTCACCGGAGTCCTGCACTGCCCGTGAAAACGCAGCTTCAGCTCCCTTCCCTCCGAGGTATTTTAGCAGCACCTGCTGGCTGCCGCACGCATCAACTTCCCAGCGTAGGAGCAGAGTTAAGGGGATGATAGGGGCTTATCCTTGCTGCAATGCGTTTAGTTATGCACGCTAATTCCAAGTTGCTGGATGAAAGGTAAAGAGCAATAACAGTAAGCATTCAAATAAGTTGTCTGAAGATGTCTCATGCACCTTTCCAGGCATTTCTGGGTGAGGATGAGGCCACCTCACCCAGATACCTTTTGATATCTTTTGATATCTTCAGGCAGCTCTTCTAAGCCCGCTAAAAAGGGGATGCTTCAGAGGGGGGTCCCGCACAGGTGTTACCAGCTGTGAGGCCGGCTGATTGCCGTTTCCTGGCTTCATGCTTTCAGTAGTGTCAAGTCATCGTTTTTGAACAGTTCAGCACGAGTAGTTTTGCTGCTGCTGGCAAAAAGTTCACTCTGGTTCACTTTCTTTTTTTCCACTTTCTCCAATCATACAGAATCAGGTCAGGATGATCTAATTTTCTCCAGTTTTGGAAAAAAAAATAATTGTTAGAGAAAACATTTTCTCTGTTTTTCCTCTTTCAATGACTATCTTTTGATTCGTTCGAAATTAACCATGGAATTGAGGTACTTACAACCACAGAGCAGCTGGACTCGGCTATGATGGGAGGGAAGAAGGAGACGTGGTGTCCTTTCACCATTTTCCTGCTGTCCCCAGGCTGCAGTGACAGCAGCGGGGCTGAGTTACACATGACGTGTGCTCTCCTGCTGCATGATGGCAAGTGTTTTCCTGTCAGACTGCTACCAGTTTCAAGCAGGGATTTTTTTTTGGTGGAGGAGCCTTCTTCCATCCACAACAGAATTTCTGAAGAGAGCAAGATGAACAGACAAATTTAGGGAGATTAGGAATGTGAGCATAAATCCCCAGAGATTTTCTTGACCACCGGATTATTTTGGGGTTAACGTGTCTTTCTTTCTGTCTTTGAAACAGCTTTGCAGAGTGAGGTTTTCAAAGACAGTTCCTGTACAGAATAGGGTAGAACTTGAATCTCAGAGTTTTGTTGGACAGAAAGCCATTTCCTGGGCATTTCCATACCTCCTACTTAAGTGGTTTTTTGCTTGTTTGTTTTTCAACCATCACTCCTCCTGTGTAAGCCACTGACTGTGTAATTTGATGCAGAAATATACTTCTGTGCGTGGAAGGTGAGTCCCAGTGCTCAACGTTCAGACAAATATCCAGAAGAAGCCCCTACAGACAGACATCGACCATGGCTGTGTGACCATCGCTAGGGAGGGAATATTGTAGGCCTGGACTCCTCCGTGAAAACACTGCTGAAGGGGAGAAATAGAAAATGGAAATTGCACTAAAAACAGCAGAGTTCTAAGGCTGTAAGTAGGTGATAGCAAAGAAAAATATTCCTTCTTCAACTCCTGGTCAACTTTGCATCTCACAGCCTGAGTGCATACAGAGAAGGCTGTGACACAGCTGGGTTGGTTGCAGGAATTCATAGCACTGCAAGGTAGTTGGGGAAGAACAAATAAATGTGCTCTGCTCTTAGAAAGCTTACAGAAGAGCTTAATTTACAGAAGTCAAGCTCTAACAGAAAGTCTGAGCTGGCTGGAAGGGAGGAAAAAGAATTGGAGAAAAAAAAATGGAAAAAAATTGAAAGTGTAAGGTAATACAAAGCTTTAATTGTATTTAAAATCATTTTGGTGCAAAGAATTCATTGAAAGATGTTGGTAAATATTAGGAATATCAAGGAATTGGGTGTTTTCAAAGAGTCATGATGCAGAAACTGATTCTAAAGAAGCTTGTTCTTATTAATGGGATCAAAACCAGGGCAGAGTATAAGAAGAAAAGGAAAACTGCTGCCGTAACCCAATTTGGGCAAGGCCACCTTCCAGTGCAGAGCTGACCCTGCAGCACCTCCAGTCGCAGGCGTGCTGTTACACAGCAATTGCTGCCTTGAATTACGGATCCTAGCAGTCAGTGGGGAGCCGGAAAGCATCCCCTTGGCCTCACCAAGCTCTGCTGTTCTGTGAGCCTGTGATCTGATAACGCCTCAGGTTTTCGAGATCCCTTTCTCTTTCAGTGCCTATCTTCCTGCTCTCACCGTCCCCACCACCACTAAAACTCAAACTCCGGGGCTCCCCCACAGCAGGCTTGATGCTCCTACCAGGTAGAGACACTGGTTTTGGTTCAGGGGCTGAACTCTAATTTTTGTGTCATCAGCTGTGATTCACGTGGGTAGCCGTCATAGCAGCCTTCACTCACTTTATTTCAAATATAAACCCGCGTTAAAATTTTAGGAAATATATTTAAAAAATAAATAAAAATTGAAAGTTGTGCTGCTGAAGGATCAAAGTCAAAGAAAGCCACGCTGGCTGCGCAGCAGCGCACACCCCCTTGGTGACGCTGGACGGCAGCCTCTGCCCAAAAACGCTGCTGCTGGGTGTTTCTCCTGAAGCCTGGTTGGGTGTCTCTCCAGATTATCCGATTTTTTGAGGAGTGCTTGCTGCCCCTATCGATGAGAATGGCTCGCCATGTGACGCGTGGTGTACGTCTATCTGCTGGCCAAAATTATTTGCAATTTTTACTTTCAGTTTAACTTAGGTTTAATTGTCTCGATTTAAGCCTCTTGCACTAACACTAAGCTGCTTTTGTTTTTACTTTGGATCCAATAATTTTAATGTTTCCTCCATATGGCAGTGGGTTTTCAAAGGAAAAAAAAAACAACAATGTTTGAGGCAGAGTTGTTTGAATGGATTGAAATTAGGAAAGTGAAACTAAAAATATAAATAGGACTTCAGGCTAATGTGACGTATGAAGGGAACTTCTGAGTAATATTTTGCTGTATCAAACATTTGACAAACATGTTTGTGTCTTACCTTCAGCCTTTCTGTGTTTGCAGTGGGCTCTCTGGCTTCGGCAGCAGCTGGATAGGCAGCAATAGCTGCCACTAGGATGAATGCCAGGGACTAACAGTTATAAAACACATTTCAGTGATTTTAAACAATGAATTACACCTCCTTGTCAGAAGTATTTTTGTCAAGCGTAACTGGTCTGCGGGCTTAATCTGCAAGTGTAATGAATGTTGGTAGCTGGGTTGCCTTTATATTCAGCTGGAGTCTTAGCACAGACAGAAATACGGATCAGTGATCCAGTGTTTTATTTTTTATTTTTTAGTCCAGTTGGTAAATACTCTCCCTTTGAGAATGTTTAACCGTTTGTCATGTTGGTAAAACCAGTGCTTTACCTGGAGTGTGAAATCTGGATCCTCTTCCCGTTCTGGCTGTGAGGAGGTTACCAGCAGGCTGTGGAGCAGCACTCCCAAGGATGGCATCTCAGAGGTTGTTTTCCTGGTGGATCTGCAGACTTTTTTGCGAGGCCATCCCAAGCTCGCTGCAGTTCAGACATACTGGGTTAGCCAGGATCTCGTGCTTAAACCAGCTGTTTTTCCCTGGAGAGCTACGGGGTCAATTCTGTGATCCTTTTTCTCAAGTCACTGGGCAACTCAGAAGGTTTTCAGCTAGCAGTAGGTCATTCATAGGCATGAACCCATCTGAAACTGAGTCTCTGCATTGCTTTAGTTAAAGCACAACTCTGTTTTCACTGTAAAGAAGCCCTGAGGTATGGGAGGATGGCTAGCTGGCGTGTTTCTGCACCTGCTAGCATTCCTCTACTTGCATTTAAGTCATAGGTCACACCACTGCTGGGCTCTAAGGTAGGATGTTTTTCAATCCTTGGATAACAACCCAAAATAACCCAAACTGCAGTGAACAGATTCCCTTCACATCAAAACTGTTCATGAAATCTTGTTGCACTTGCCAAATCTTTTTCCTCTCTTCATAATAAATGATACAACGACCCCATGAGAGTGAGATGTTAGCCTTTCGGTATTTCATGACCTCTAAAAATCTGATTTATTTTAAAATACGCTTATTTCTGACATGATGGAAGCCAACAGCATCTAAGTGAAGTTTCAGAGATTATATTCAGGGTATGAACTATACTCACAATGGGTATTCCTACCTTCTTGATCCTGGCAAATTTGCTGGCTGAGAAAATCTTAGTAAAAATCAGAGAAAGCTCTATTTCCAGGTCTTGGGGTTGTGTATGTTGTAGTTTTTATTTGTTTGTTTGTTTGTTTGTGGATTTTTTTTGTTTGTTTGTTTTTCCCTTTTGCAGTGAAAGCATGAATTACTGCAGCCTTTTACGTTAGGACTCAGAATGGTGAAAAATTATGGAAAGTCTGAGAATTGTGGGTAGGCTCGATTGAACTTCTCTAAGCCTTCTTGAAGTGTTTCTTTCTTTTATGATGACAAAGTGGAGTGTAACTTCTGAAACTAGCAGTAAGTTAATCCAACCTGCTAGTACCACAGGGCTAAATTATAAAGGGCTTCAATAAAATTAATGAGAAGTAACAGCTACTGTGTACAGATCTTTCAGTTTCGGGTTAGATAAACATTGGATGCTCCTTGAACCTTGTCTCACAGAGAGCAGCGTGGGGAAGTTGGTTCAGCAAAGCACACCAGCTTTTTTCTAGGTATTTTTTCCCTCTGGTTTGCCAGGGCTGATTCCCTGGTTCTTTGAACACGACTGCAGTAGTGCTGCTCTCTGAGCTGCTCTGAAAGGCTGCTGAAGGTCTGTCCTTTCGTCCACGTGGCTTCAGGTGCCACCTTCTGGAACACGAAGGCTTTCAGTTCCCCTCTGGGCACAACCATCGTTGTGTCTTCCTTACGTGCAACTCGTGCTTGCTCCCAAAGTGATGCCTTGTGCCAGCTCCAGTCACTGTGCCCTTCTGCGTGGGGTTTCGTAAGCTTCTTACAAACCATCTCCTCGTATGTCCAGGGGCTGCAAAGATGCAGGAGCTGGACCTGAAAACTAACAGATATGACTGTCTGAGTTGTCCGTGGAGGAGAAATCTCCAGCACAAGCACAATTGTAGACAGAGTCTTATTTGCTTGGTGTGGAAGTGCTTCACATCCCTTCAGGAATACTCAAACTGTGCTGTTATGTATAATAGGGACCTGAACCATCAACAACAGCAGGATGTTGAAAAAAAATCCTAAAACTGGAATTGGAAACAATTTTTTTTAAATCTGATATTCAGTAGAACTGAAATTTGGTGCTAATGCTTTCCACCTCAGAAAAAAAACGTGCTGTTCTACCTACCAGCCAGTGAATACCGTATGTTTTATAGACTTTTTTTTCATCTCAACACTTGACTACTGAAATTTAACTTTTTCTAGTGGTTCACTTGAAACAAGTGTCAGCCAGAGTTCAGCTCTCCATTATACAGAGGGAGCTTTAGAGACAATGATCCGTGGCAGACACGTAAACAAAACCAAGGGGCTCTGCCTTTTAAACCCACCCCGTTTCCCTCCCCCTTCCCCCCAGTAAACAGCTTCTGGCTGCAGATTTGGTCCTTTATAGAAGAGATTTTGAAGATCCCAGCTGACCTGTCCAGCAGCCTGGTAATCCTCAAATCATCTGCTTGCCATCCTAATGTGGAGATGTCACTGAAAAGGCTTGTTGACAGCCTTCTGTTGCGTTACAGATAGCTCTGTAGCACTGCGACCGTCGTAGTCAGTTAAACTTTAACACATGGCTGGGTAAAACTTCCCCTTCTGACAAATTCGGAAAGACTGCTGACAGGAGAAAATTGCACGGAAAAATACATGCTTTCCAGTTCGCTTTGGGTTAGATGAAGTTGACGGTGATTCACATAACATCGTGTGAACTCTTCAGAAAATGTTTTTGAAGTTACTATTTCAGAAGAAACTGAATGCCCTTTCTGTGCACGTTCTCACACGATGTGTTTTAAAGCATCTAAGCACCACATTTTATATTAGCATGAAGTAAAAATATGTTAATAAATAATAGATTTACTCCTGTTATTCAATTGTTACATCTTCACTAAAAGTGAACATTTTATTCTCAGGTCTTAACAAGGACTCGTATGGCCAAAAAACAATAATCAAATCCATCAGTGTCTCCCAGGCTGTGATATTATCAGCGTCTACGCATCCTTCAATCAATTTTTCTGTCCAGTAATAAATACTAATCTCAGCTAAACTGTTTTGTTACATATACAGCAGGGTCTGATCCCAACCAACTCCTTAATCCACTATTTTAATAATAGTCTATGGATTAAGGGATCTATACTGTACGCTGCCACAATGTATTGCGCTGAGGATCTATAGACGGGCACTTCTGAGCCATTTTAATGGCACACGAGCCATCATAGCATTAGGGTGGCAACAGCCTGCAGATTATCTCCTGGATGGCAAACTGCAGCAAAGCAAGTTTAATGAACCTCCTTCAAGGTGAAAACGCTATTAAACGGACTTCGAAATAAAGCCGTGGGGCATATAAATACCAACAGGCATTTACATGTAATCCGCTGTGAGATGCACAGAAGGTTTTGAGGTTTGAAATGTGTCAAAATAACAACATTAAAAAGGAGAGTCTGCTTTCTCGTCTCCTTCCTCATCTATACACGCATCGCACTTCCCTCCTCGTGTCCTAGAGCACGGGGATGTGCAAGGAAGGAAGAAGGAAATGGGCACTGAAACCACGTCACTTCTTGCAAGGCAAGCACATCTTCCCCACGCAAACTCCTACGAGCTGTTTTCCACTTGTTCCTCCTTCCCTTCCCCTCAGTTTCTTTCTCCCAGGCAGTGCACGGAGCATGTAGGGTGTGTGCCGCTTCCTAGCATGCAAACATTGGGCTTTTCTGAATATACCTCGACAGCTTTTATCTAGCGTTTTCTTTGACTTATCACTGGGCCTGCTCTAGCAGCTTCACCTCCCAGCAGCTTTACCTCAACTACTGGCCCTTCTTTCTTTCCAGATGCTTCTCCCTTTCTTAACTTTCCTCTTCCCTCTGTTGGTGTCACGCACCGATTCCATCCCTTGCGTCTCCCAGAGCTTCTTCATCCCTCAGCCTTTCAAAATAGTGATGAGCACAGACGTACCCTATGGCGAGATGTTCCCCAGCTGCCAGTGCCCGTACACATTTTGGAGCCACGGGTGCTGTGGCCCCGAGAGGGGACAGGTCCCAGCCAGCCACGCAGGCAGGGAGCAGCCTTCATGCAGTCTTTTCTACTTGGACTCCACACAGGCTCCAATAAAAGCTTATTTATTTTTGTCAGAAGATGCTAATGTTGACCGCCAGCCTCAGTTGCACTCAAGGACACTTTTCTTCACGTACTCTTCATGTAGTTACAGCCCCAGGGTCTTTCCCAAACTTGCCCCCAGAGGTACTGCTTCTGTCCAGCCCACGTCCCCATGAGCACTTGGATGCCTAATTCGGGAGGATGTCGGTGTGGGTAGGCTCACAAATACCTTCTGAGCGTCTTGGACAACATTGCAATCCATTTCCTAACCCAATTCATGGAAAAGAGCATCGTTAAGAGGCTTCCCACTTCTAAAGGGCCAGACAGGTGAATAGTGCTGTTCCCAAAACACAGAGTGAAAAAGGAGGCGATGAGATTTAACTGTTTCTGTGACCATCCACAGGTCTGAGGGGCACGCCGTTTGGCAATGAGCAGGCCAGGCTTCTCCAGGGACAGAACCAAGCTGGATGGCGAAACTGAATGATGCTGGAAAATAAAAAGGCTGCTCCATGGGCTGGGGGACTGGGTGACCGACTGGGTGACCTACTGGGTGACTGAGCAACTGACTGGGTGACTGACTGGCTGTGTGACTGGGTGACCTACTGGGTGACTGACTGGGTGACTGACTGACAGACTGATTTATTGACTGGGTGACTGACTGACCGACTGACCAACTGTGTGACTGACCGACTGACTGACTGGGTGACCGTGTGACAGCCTGGGTGACTGACTGGGAAACTGAGTGACTGACTGACTAGGTGACCAACTGGGTGACCGGGTGACTGCCTGACAGACTGACTGACACTGACAGACTGACTGTGTGACTGGCTGAGCCCATAAGCTCAGCCCCCGCTCAACCCCCTCCCGCTCCCAGTCACTGCCCCGGTCGCTGAGGGGCGGGAGCAGCCGGAGCCGCCCCCCCAACGGCCACTAACGGCCCCCAACGGCCACCAACGGCCAGTAACGGCCGCAGAGCGCGCCCCGCCCCCCTCGCGCCTCCCGCCCCCCGCCCCACCCCCTCCGTCCCCGCCACGTGGGGGGCGTCCCCCCCGCCCCCACGTGGCGCTGGCCACGCCCCCTCCCTCCTCCTCCCCCTGCCGCCGACCAATCGGCGCGGCGCGGCGGCGCCGGGCGGCCAATGGGCGGCGGCGGGGCGGGGCCAGGCGGCGATGGCGGCGGTTGCGGCGGTTGCGGCGAGGCGGGCGCTGAGGCGGCTGTGAGTGAGGCGGGGCCGGGAATGGGGCAGGGGGCGGGGGGGCGGTGAGGGCCTGGCACAGGCTGCCCAGAGAAGCTGTGGGTGCCCCAGCCCTGGAGGTGCTCAAGGCCAGGCTGGATGGGGCTGTGGGCAGCCTGGGCTGGGGGAGGTGTCCCTGCCCATGGCAGGGGTGGGGATGAGCCGAGCTGCGGGCTGGCCGGCCGGGCAGGCTGCTGCTGCTCCTGAGGAGCTCCGGGGCGGTTGGGCTGCGCTGTGCCGTGCCTCAGCCCGTAAAATCACGGTGCAGACCCTGCCACATGCGTCCTGCTGCGCTTGGTGCCCTCACCGCAGCAGGTGCCTCTGTCGTGGGGCAGCTGCCTGTCCAGCTGCCGCCTCCCTCCCTTCACGAGGGTGGCACCGTCCCTGCGAAGCCACCAGCCTGAGCTGCCTGAGGATGCGGTCGGAGCGTTTCTGCCTCTGTCAGGGAGATGAAACCCTGGTGTGATCTGGCTTTGCTCACCCGTGATGTTTCAGAGCCTGTTGGGCTTCCCTGCCCTGGAAAGATCCTTTTCTTCTTGGGGAAAACTTCAATAAAAACCTCCTTCCAGCTGTTTTGGAATAACAAACACAGCTGTTCTCGTTTTCCTAAAGACGTTCAATGTGCTTCTACAGACAGTGTTGCAGTAAAGCATCGACTATGAAAACTTTCTTCGCCACAGGCCCGTGTGAAGGGTTCTCTCTGTGCTTGACACTTGCGATGTGGAAGAAGAGCACTGCGCATGTAAGCACGATCACCTGGTTGCCCTCAGCTACCCAACTGCATCCTTCACCTGTGTACCAGAGGTTTTTTTACGTGCATTTCTTTACATGGCATATTTGAGGCAGAATTATGTTCATGTGCCTGTGCGAGGTCAAGTGAAAGCGGCATCGCTGAGCTCACATCTTGGTGGAGTGCCACAGAGCGTGGAGTATCCTGCGTGGACACGTGCAGCATGTCATACAAGGGTGCGGGCACGAGCACAGCTGTTACGAACACAGGAGCCTCAGGAGTGCCACTCGTGGAGGGCTGCTTCAGTCGCTGTGTCACTAAAGTGGGCGTGATGGATTTCTGTGGAGCGGTGAGGCTTTCTGAACACCTACATGGAGATAATGCAGCATTAGTAATAAGCCCACATCACTTTGGGATTGTACGTTGGTCACCTACCAGGTCTACCCTCGGAATAAAAAGTATTTCCAGCACTGGGAGTGTCTTCTCACCTTGCCTCCCAGGAGCCCGCTGCTGCTTCATCCCGGGTTTCGCAAGACGAAGTTTGTGGCTCCTTGGCAGATTAGCAGTGATGATGCTTTTCATGGATCGGACACTGGAGGGTGCTAATGCAATGGGAGCTGAAATTGTTCTAGCAAATTAAAGGGTTCCCCTTTGTTACTCGTGAAATAATTTTATTCTTTGTTGCAACATTTAAATGGAAAGACCTGAGTCAGGGTCCTTACTGGCAGCTGGTGGCACTGTGCGTGTGTAGAGCTATGACCAAGAATATCAATAAAGTGTTAAGTCTGCGAGGGATTTCTTTCCTGAACCTTTATCCAAAAAAATATCACTTCATGTTCTACCCGTTTTTAAGTGTGTTTTTGAGGAGGATGGCCTTGAGGTGAATTTTATTTGAAAGCATGACTTTCTAGTGGTAAAAACACTTTGTCAGGCAGAGTTGTTGAGAAACATCCACAGCATCTGCTTTACCTCAAGGGCACTTTGGTTCACCTAAAGCGGTGTTGTCTTGTTGCTGCCCGGGCAGAACCTGATCGTGGCTCACATCGGGGAGGGATGCCTCCAACACCACTAATCGAGTCCCTGTTGTTGTGATCCTCTGCCTGGGGACAGACCCGATGGAGCTCTCTAACATCAAGGCTTGGGGTGGCAGAAAGACACAGGGCTGACGTGAACACCCCGGTGCGTACCTTGGCAATTCCTTATCCAGCATTAAGGGCTGTGAAACTGCTGCCTGAGCCAGTTCTCGTCCTGGCAGCAGCAGAGGTATGATGCTGGCTAATTAATGCTAATGAGAAGCAGGGTGCAAAGCCAAGCGTATCCAGCTAATCGCCACTGGCACCCCAATGAGGCGGTGCAAAGCTAGCACAGCCCAGAGAGGTCCTGCCTGGCCCTCTACCTGCCTTTGGGATGTGTTGGTGAGACGGAAGCCATCAGTCATGAAGTGTCTGAGCAAAACGGAATGAGTTCCAGGGACACTTCTCTGTCTCTCTCCTAAGGTGTGAGTGGCAAACGAGTTACTCCTCTGTCTTGTTCTCCTTTCCAAGCCAGTTGTGCTGTCCCCTCCTGGAGGACGTCACCTGGCTGTAATGTGTTGGTCTGTTTGTTCTCTCCCAGCTGTTGCGGTCTGCTTGCAAACAGGCAGGTTTCATTTTTCTTCCTTTTAAAAACGCCCATCGCTTCTCTCTGAATCCCCCCCTCGAACAGAAGTGCAGCTGAGCACGGAGAAAGACCCTGTTTATAAGGGACGTGGGATCTGGCCTGTTCTGGCACCGTTCACAACACGCTTGCCCACCTCACGCAGGTACACAGCCGGCATCACAGGAAAGTTGCTTGGCTGCTTGTTGGAAGCAGCAGCAATGTAGCCAGCTGAAAGCTCACGCTTCCTTTGCGGAGAGCTCTGGTAGCTTCCCAGAGCAGGGTCGTAAGGGGACGCAAGAAGAAAAGCTCTTAAAACTGTTGTAATAACTAGTGTTACTGAGGACAGTATGCTTGAGGGGAAATCAGTTAGCCTAAGCATGCATAAAGGGTCTGGTTCACAGCGTACTCACCTTGCTTAGCAGCTTTTAGAAGAAGGTTTCTTCCCTCACATCTCCATCCTGAGGAGCGGGTCCGAGCTAGGTTACGCCGCTTGGCATGACATCAGGAAAGGACGCGCTGGTTGTGGTGCCAGGATGGTTTGCAGCTGTGCATTTCATGTAGGCTGCCTCCTGATTCATCCCGAGAGACCTCTGGCTAGGAGAGGGGGCTAACGGGCCTTTGGCCATACACACCCAATCGCCCCTCGCTTCTCCCGGTGCCCTTTAAGGCTCCCTGGTGTCAATAGGATTCACCTGTCCCCGTGAAATGGGCACCGCTGGGGCTGCCAGCCTTGCCTTCCCAGTTTTGTGGGCCCGGGTTGACCTGCTGTCCAACCCGCTTTCTGCTCTGCCATTTTAATTAAAAATGGTTGGCATGAGGGGCTCTGCAGCGATGAAAGGGAAATGATGCAACTTTGAAGAATTTGGAGCATAAAGCTGATCTCTAAATTTTAATGTACTCGCTGCATTTAAACAGTTAATAGATACATTTTATTATTGAGCTTTCAGGTGACCTAATTTCCCTTAGTACTGTACATTTAGCTTTATACATCTGCACCTAATTTGTAAAAAAGGACTTAATGAGAAACTTCAAACAGTTTAAATGTCAATTACAAAGAAAGCGAGGTTTTAAAGTTCCAGTAATCTGTCCATATTGGTCATCGAAACATGATCCCAGGTGGATGTTAATTCAAGACAGATGGCATTCCAAAGGCACAATTACAAAGAGCTTATATATTTTCAACACTAACAAGCTGTCACGCTATGTTGTAGCTACACTTCCAATACTGTATAACTACAATTACTGCTTTATCTGCTGCGGGCTCGGCAATAAAGGGGTTTCGCTCCCCGCTCTTGAAATTGTCAACGGGATTTTGGGGGTGAACTGGAGAGCGGGGTTGGGTAGCGTGAATATCTCCCGTTTGCTCACTCTGTTGGGTGGGGGTGGGTTTTCTGTGTTATTTGTTTTATTTTGATTTTTTTTAAGTTGGTGAATGCTATTCAGAGAAAGGAGATGAAATATTGACTATATGAATAACAAGACTGGCTCATCACAGAAAGCTTTCTATTTCCTGGCGATAATAATTAACGTTCGTCTTATCAGCTGCTAGGAAATAGCAATGCTGATGTGTTCAAACCCACAGCATCCTGGATGTTTTCACTTAAAAAGTCATCGGAAAGCCT